GATAGGTGTGGGAGCGACAAGAGCAGGAGAGACAGGTGCAGGCACAGGCACAGGAGCAGCTTCAACCTGGGGGATTTTAGCATTCTGTCGACGACGGTTCATGTTAGTAGTAGTAGTGCTGGAGATGTAACGAGAGACTTACCCATACATAACATATATACCTTCATCCTGGGAACCCCAGAAAAACACCGCTGTGCACAATGGTACAGAATCACCTTGGCACTGCAGGGTCTAAACACAATAGTTAATAGCAATACATAATGATTAAGACTGAAAACTGGAGTACTGATACACGTACATTTCGTTTAGCAGCTCTTCATAACATCCCAACTTCTTCCTACTGTATCGGCCAGATCATGGTGTCCGGTTCTTGAATGTGGGTGGGGATCTCCGCGAGGAGGACGCAAGTATGAAAACTAACACGATGTATACTTAAATCTTGCTGAGCAGGAAAGATCGGTTGGGAGTGAAAGGTGATCATCACAGACTGCAGTGTACGGTGTACCCTGATCAGCGTGGGAGTTAATACACGGGAATTAATACACTGCATAGTACATATGTGCACAGACCATGTGCAATACATACACATGTAAATACTAGGCAAACAATCTCAAACATGTGCATTGCGCAGATGTAGTACTGAAAGAAGAAAACAGAAAGAAAAGCTATATAGCACGTGTCTTGATCCGACGTGAGGTGGGAGTAGTTACAGGTGTTGGGGTATTGTTGCGTAGATGTAAACTTGCGAATGATGAGTTCATGGATGCGGTGTGTATGGATAAATGAAACTACTTACACATGAGTTGATCTACGAAGGGGCGTTGCTTTCGGCAGACATGTGGGCACCGATTCAGAGAGTTCAGGGTTTTGAGAAGGTGGGATCGGATAATCAAAATCCAAGGAATGTGTAGCTGGTGCAGGCCCTGCAGTGCGAAGATCGTGCAGTAAAGAATGTAGATAGTCATAATCGGGATCTTCTGAGAATGAGAGAGAGCGCGAGTAGACAAGGATATTTGCAAATGCAGGAGGAATTCCCTCACATAAATCCGCAATGGCGGTATCTACTTTGCGCTCGAGTATAAAGGAGTCAGAAAGCTTCTCGTGGTCACTATTTAACCATGGTAGGGAGCCATGCAAGAAATATATCAGCATATAGGCAAGTGATTCAAGATTGTCACGGCGACCTGGCTCCAATCCCAAGTGATTGTTGATTGAAGCGAAGGCAGGGGTGCCTGTGAGACGTCGACCTCGACGAAATGGGATGTGGGATGCGGTTGAGGAATTCCAGTATCTCTTCGCGATACCAAAATCAATAATATAGACAGTTTTTTCTGAAATATCTATCATAGCGTTTTGCGGTTTGACATCGCCATGAATATAACCGTGTGAGTGAATGTACTCCAGACGCGACAGCTGGAAAATGGGTCAGTATCTACAGCACAACACATTTGAACCAAAGTACCAGCTGGTCCCCTAAGTTTACAACAGTTTGAAGTCTGAATTTTCGGTTGCACGTGAGGAAAAGATCATGCAGCGAGCGACCAAGGAGGTCAAGAGCCAAGGCATAGTGTGTTGACTCCCTGCCAAACCAAAGGACGCGGGGGATCCCAACTCCACCTTCGAGTTGCTTGAGAATGCGGTGTTCGTGCTCGAGAGAAGGTGGATTATTGGTGACCAGTTCGAGTTTGATGGCAATGATATCATCGTTAAGGAAGTTTTGTGCACGGTACACGACAGCTAGTGTATATTTGAAACCCTGAATATCAATCAATCGACTGTCGACATCATACGAACGCACCATATGAACCTGATCCCAAAATATTTTCCAGCCTGAATCTACCATCAATGCGTAATGGAGCCTTACTCATGCTATGCGACAGCTAAATGTTGCAGACTTACAGCAAGAATTGAAAATTCAGCATGGTGAGAGTGGCTTCCGCGTGACTAGAGCCGACTGCAGTCAACTTGAGCCGGCTTGAGTCAATATTTCTTAATTAATGGCTCGTAGCCAGTTCGTGCAGCTCGTAAGTCGAACCAAACTGCACAACGTGGTTTGACTGACGAGTTTAACCGAATGGCAAGTGTAGCCAGTAAAAGCCGAGTCCGAGCCGGGCCGAGCCGAGCTGTGACATCACTAACAGCGGGTAAGTGCTTTGATGGTTTCTGGTCCTTGACCCATGCTCATGATTGCCATCCCTTGCTGCTGCTCGCCTGTTGACGACAGTCCGTAAGTTCCTTGATGGTTTCTAGTCCTCGACCTATGCTCATGATCCCTATCCCTCACCGCCGCTCACCTGTTCACAGCGAGTAAGTGCCTTGATGGTTTCTAGTTCTTGGCTCATGCTCGTCATCTTCATGCCTCCCTGCTACTCGCTTATCGACAGAACGTATGTACTTTTGATTCTCCCTCATCCTCAACCCATGCTGACAATCACTGCTCTTCACCTGTTGACAGGAGGTAAGTGTCTTGATGGTTTTCCATCTGCAACTCATGTGGACAGCTCTTACACTTACACTTTTTTTAGCAGGTGGTGCGTATCTTGATCATATCTTGTATCCAGATGATGGTCAAAAGTATAATGATGTTCATTCGTTTTCATAGCCTAATGTAAGTGTGTTCTATTCTATCAGATGAGCCGAATCATCATTGCTCATATAATCCTTAGTTCGTTGAGTATCACTCCTTGATGTCATATTTCCAATGTTCATTCATCTTGCATATTTTCGTGTCCTGTGCAGAATGTGAGTTGTTTGACTTTCATAATGCGAAATGTTAAATCTCTGAATCATTTTGACTCACTCTGTCGATCTGTAGGATGTAAGTCTATTTCAATCGTCAATCATTTTAGCCAGATAATCTCTTGTCTTCATCACGTGTTCGCAGAATGTGTGTTGATCACATCCTGCCTGACATCATGTTACTCCACTGACACACAATCTCATCTAGCTCGTACGTCCATGGATAATATTCGCCAATATATAGTGATGCTCATCTGGCTCCAACCCCTGACAGTTTGTAAGTTACCTGAGCAAAGCAGTCATTGTCTACAATCTGGTGGTTGATTATTCATGACTGTTACGTCGACCAAATAGAATGTGCGTCTCTGTTATTAATCAAAAGCCAAATTTCCACCTCATAATTCTGACATCCTTTTCCCGCAGGGGGCAAGTACTTTCTCCCATGGAGTTGATTCTGATTCCTATACTTTCAATTTATGGCTAGGCAACAACCTACCGAAATGATATTATGTGCGTCCTTCAGCACTTGGTAGGTTGACTTCCCTCCGCATTGATTCCCAGCACTATACGAGTGTGCAACAGGCTGTGAAGGGTTCACTGTCCACTCCTGCTGCGAACAGAATAATTCAGACTGGCATCGGTTAGTTTCTCGCCACACGAACGGTTGTAGTCTTAATGACAGGAAGCAGCCACCATTATCGTCCTCGAGTACTCTGCATTTCTCCCGGACAAGTTGGATGGCTCGGAGCTCGTCGAGTCTGCTGTGGACTACTACCTGAAATCTCCTATGGTTGCCGCAGTAGAGAAAGTAGCGGAAGAGATTTGTCGTGAAGGCTACCACGGAGAGGAACTGGGAAAGAAGGTTCTAGAGTTCATCCTTGATAATCGCTTGTGTACGTCCCTCGCCTCGTTGTGAACCTCGAGGTCGAAGTTTACGAACAACCCGCAGCAAAGGACTTGACAGAAAAGAAGTAGATCATGTTCGGGCCAAGCTTTGTTTGTTTATGCGTTTTTCCTCATGCTATGCACTTGTGTTATGTACGATACCAAGCACACTAGCTCTAACTCCTGAGCGGTGCAGTTGTTTCCGATTCTCTTCCCCGTCTTATGTACTATATACCCCGCACTCCAGTTTCAACCCCCCGACGAGTTTTGTATACCAAGTCAAGCAGATTGTCGCTGAGCTTACTGCAGTTGAGTCCATCGTGCATGACAGATTTGGTCCTAGCTCTTACATAAATGCTACAATTCATCCGCCCTCATTCTTATTTTCTCGTTTGTTGTTACTGTGACTCATGTCTGCCTTTCGCTCGCATTCTCTTGCTATCAATATCGCACCTGCATTGTTTCCATAGTAGTATTCACTAGTCACTAATTATGCACTCGACTCGGATTGCGCACTATTGCATTAACGATTGTAAATCCTGCAGGACCATTCTATACGCTCGTAGACTGTACTCATCACTATTGTGTACATTGCTTCTGTATGCCATCGCAATTGATCTGTTTTCCCACATTTTGAGAACATGATGTTGCGGCCAAGCGTGAGAAAACACGACCATCTGCCATGTTCTCCCGCGTCGAATTTCCATGGCCTACGGTGATATCTACCCATCTTTTGTGGTGAGTATTTTCACTGACTCGGAGCTGCCGGTTACAACTTCTCAACACTTTCTGAATCCGAGCAACACACTGACAGGACGCAAGTCTGCATCCAATTTGCATAGACCTCATGCAGAGCGATCAAATCCCGCATTTTCTGAGATTATCGAACTCTCAGCCTCCAACTTGGAGTTCAAGGACCGTTCACTTGACGAGGGCGAGCAGGACAACGAGGCTTACTTCCCCCTTCCTGCCAGAAAAGAAAACTTCGTCAGTCTGATCACGCTTGTGAGCAAACGACTGTTTCGGTGACTTGACTTGCAAATTCTAGTCCATGTTCAAGTTAACCATCACAGGCGGGTTGGTCTTGTTGGTTGTGTAGTTGCTGGATATATGCTTTTCGGACACCGGAAATGCATGTGAAACGGTGAGACAAAACTTTGTGGGTGCCATCGCTCAAGTTGGCAGCCACCGGTTCACTGGTCTTGTCGGTGCCGGTTGTGTAGTTGCTGCATATCTCCTTTGTGGACATCGGAAATGTATGGGAAACGGTGTGATAGAACTTTGTAGGTGAGCAAGTATGGGTAAGGGGTATCGCTTTGGAAGTAATCGCACTGATATCGTTCGAACAGACCCACACTACGAATCATATGGCACCCAATGCGAGATTTATGGGGTCTCACCGCATCCCCAATCGTGCCTGAAGCAGCTTGCATATAAGAGCGACTGCCCAGCCAAAGATTTACTACATAGACAATTGAAACGACTACACCATGTACGTTTTCATTGCGCGATCTGTTTGCTACTAGATCTAACAGTTAACATTCCAGTGCCACCATGGTTCATTTTGTACTGGCCGTTTCCTTGCTCCTCGTGCTCGGCACTGGAGTTAGTGCAAATTGCGAGGCTTGTCCTAATTGCGATTACGAGGAAATCAGTATTGAACAAGGGAATGCATGTCTTAACTACTGGACGTGCTCAGGCGATACATTCACGTGCTATTATCCTTCTGTTGCAAATCCGGGAACGTGGAATGGCTGCTCATATAGTGCATCGGTCGTAAGTAACTGTCTCTCGTAGCAGTGCATGCGCACTCATCTGTTTTTTTTTTTGGAAATGCCAGGATTGGGCACTCACAGCTGGCCCCACCGAGATCTGTACTGCGGAAGCGGGAGTGAACCCGAAATGTGAACCTGGGAATGACCCTTACGACATTGGCGAACAAGGTTGCAGCGCTTCATATGGGTTGGTCAATGGAACCAACAGTCAGCTGTTGTAAAGTGAATGGATCGAGTTGAAAGAGCCTGGTGCAGCATGGGCTACCTCTACCTTGACACAAGTTCACGAGATGCAATTTTATTATTATTTATTCTTGCTTATTATCTGTCTACAGTATGTCCGTGTCTATTAATTGCTGCTTTGTGCGTGGTGGGTGACTGGTCTGAGTTCAACCAAGAGTGCGAGAACGGAGACGCCGAGTCACTGGGAATGATAAGGTGATGAGTGAGTGCTACTTATTCCTCTCGAGTTTGGTTTGGGTGACATCTCCAAATGACTATTCCAGTCTCTTGGTGGGCGCTATACATATATTTGAACAGGGCTCGGTACAGTAGGATTGCTAGAGGCCTGAGGAGGCGCCGATTTGAGTTGGTTTGTGCAGGTTCTGATTTCCGCAAGAAGGGCTGTTCGTTGTCTGGCGTATTCGGTGTGTGAACAAAAAGTAGTGAACTGTTTCTCCTCGGGCGTTACATTGCTGTGGGAGATTTCGGTGGAGGTATTTGTTCAGGGGGACGTGGCCCGTTTAATTGGAATATAAGCAAGCTATGGCGGGGTGGGTAATTTTTGGATGAACGGGTCCATTGTTTGGGAAACTGATGATAAGATCTGACATTGGCTCTATGACGTAGTGGTGCTGATCCAGACCACGGCGACAGTCATGCAAAATGTTACTCTTTGGGTATGTATATGAGAATTAAGACGGTTAGGAATCTAGGGAGATGTGTACTGATAAATATCTGGCAATAAGTACGATAACTCTCGAGTGACGGATATACGAATAAATTCAGAAATGATCAACGCGAACGAATACCTGTCATGTGACTCAATGTTTGAATTTTGCTTCTCTATCATTACTCCAACACACAAAATGCAGGTAGAGCACATGTTGCATACAACTTATCTGTGACCTGCGTTCTGTCAGCGTCTCGTGTCAGACATACCTTCGTCGACACACCATGACTCCACAGATTCAGTAACACCCAAAAATATCACTGCGATTGCAAGAGATTGTGCAAGAGCCAGCTGCACTAAGTACCTTATGGAACATGGAGACAGCATGTAGAGGTCCCAATACGAAGGGGACGTGTTCTCTGAAAGAGAAAAGGATACATGCTAGCATGTTATCGGGACCCACAACCTGTCCAGGATGAACTGGATCATGATCCTGGTATAGAGGTTCGTTTTGCTGTTCTTGTGCTTTTTACTACAATAACTCATGATTATCCGTACAGGAGAACCGTTTTACAGATTACAACACCTCTGGAGACATTCCCGGTACAGCGATAGATGGGCCGCCCTCCCATCTCACTTCCCCAACATATGTGATTCCACAACGATCTCTGTCACGGCCCCAGATCCACCGCTACCACACCCTAACGACAGTGGTGTTCTCGCATCCCTACATGTAGATGAACGTGTCCTTACGGAGGGTTTTTTACGCACGCGAAGTGTAATGATCTTTGTCACTCCCTCACGTTTGTCTTATAGATGCAAACAGCCGGCCTAGATGACGAAGACACCGGGCTCAGCACAGAAGCAGTCACACAACCCAGATTCCCACTGCAGTTCACACCTTCGCTTGAAGGTATCCACATTTCCCGCTGTCCAGCTCTACCTTTCACGTCCAGCTCTAGAGAAGGATGCGCAATATGATCATCGAGCTTCATGGCTATGTGCCGGCATTCAACACTATGTCTTACAATGCTGTCGACGTTTTTTGAAATGGCTGGATCCAAGGCATACAGTCACATATCTTTTAAACTAGCGAGTCTCGGCTTGCACCGCGAGTACTTATACTGATCGTATTCTGGCCAAAGCATGCTATTTCATATGTTTGAGGCGCAGGGTCGTGTACTTCAACACTTACATCATGACAGTTGAAGCTATATGATCTCAATACGACCTCAATACCATTAAAATACACCAGGGAGCTCGCTATGAACCGATAAGGAACCAGCCTAAACCATGATGAGAGGAAGGTGAATAGTGTTCTGTATTTCTTCACAACCCATTGGCCTTTTAACTCGTACAGAACCTGGGTACCACAAACTATTGCTTCTGTCCGAGCACATGGAATATCATTAGCTTGTGCCGTCGATTATCCCTCTGATTCGACATTGCTACTCAATGTACCTGCGGTCGAAGTTCACATGGTGACAGCTCAGGAGGTTATTTATGAGTAATTAAATTTTGACCCTTGCACCCTTGGACAAGCCAAGGATCCACACCCGTCCAACACCGTAAACCGTGACGGGTATGCACGGTGTACGTGCGGGTCTCCATAATCCACACTGTACCCGTACCCGCCACACCCGTCAGCGATAAACCGCAGGTTTACCCGTACCCGTGCTCTACCCTATAAACGATATCACTCATCATAGTAGGGACCAGCAATGGGGGAAGAGTTGAAGGAGGGCTAAGTCAAACGGTGGCACACACTGTGACTCTCGAGGCTGCAAGAGGTTTGTCCATTAATATTGTGCTCATGCGTGGATATCCAAGGGTTTTTGGGGCGGATTTCATCGTAATCCAGGGAGACGCATGCCAGCCATGAGAATCTTTGTGTATGTTGACCGGTACATCTTCTTTGATACCTGACAATATATGCGCCAATTTATAAAGTATGATGGACAGTCGGACTCATCCGCGAACGTGTATCAAACCTGCCCCGAGCTATCTATGGACACACAAGCTCCTACCTTTCCCTCAGTACCAACAAGCGTGGTCAACATTCGAGTTCAGCCAACATACACAGCACTTAATTGCCCCTCAGTTCATACCCAGAACCACAATCTTCCGGGGAAAAATCGATACGTGTAGACCCTGTCGAGCAGCACGGGATGTCACCCATTCCAGAGGACACTGACATGTTCTCGTTTACTCTCAGACGTTTCAAGGATCAACCATTTGGAAGATCGAGCTCACCTACTGAGATTTTCGATATCACTGCTCTCAGCTAGACGCGGGTATAGGGAAGAGCGAAATTCTGTCATGTCCGTCGTATTCTGATCATTCATCATAGCTCATATCCCTATCAATGTTCTCATCATTTGGCGCCATTTGTTGTGTAATCCTCGTGTTTTCAACTTATCGTATGAACGATTGAACAGTCGCAACTTCGTATCTATGCGAAGGTATAATCATTGGTCTATTGCAGGGAGATAGATAAGAGATAGACGCCGTGTGTAGCTGTTGTGCTACAAGCTATAAGAACCCTTGCTTCGTGTTCGTTCGCTGCCATATCTCGCCACGACCTCATTCTGTACCACAGTACAGCTTTCACGATAAACCAAATCACCTCTACTTCAGAACGCATATCAAGATCTCCCAATGGCAACCATCGGAGCCTGGAAAATCAGAAGAAGCATCGGGCGTTTTCGAGTTCTGATCATGGGGAGAGCAAACGCAGGCAAAACGACCATCCTTCAGAAGTTTTGCAACACCACGGATCAACCAGAAATTTACGATACCCAAGGAAACAAGGTGCGGGTGATGATCTATGCCATGCACACGTCCATCGCTGATCAATCGTGGGTAGATCAATACTGCCATCGTGGAATCATCGATTAAGGTGTGTGTGATACGAACTAGGATAGTTCGAGCTCTCCCTAGGCGGATTGCCTAATCTGATAGCGGGCTCGCTATTGGAGAGACGGGGATCTTCTCTCGAATGAGAGGTTCGGGGGTTCCACTTAAGGTAGCGTCGGCTTTCCTTAAGGTGCGGCTTAGACTGAAGGACTGGGACTGTCTTTCAGAGGAAGTTTTGGATAAAACCTAGTAGAATCAAGTAGGGAATATACATGATTCTGTCTGCTCTATATACTGTCGTCCGTGTGCACAGACCAATACTACGTTCGGTAGGTAGGTATGAGTGTGTCTATACAAGGGCATCTTATCTGATGCCATGCGGGCGATTATCTATACATGAGGCTTACCATGCCTCTTCTATCTGTCCTCAAGGCGTAGCATGCCTTGGAGTCTAACTGCGCATGCTGAGGCATGCGGCTTCTCTTCTGACCATGAGGCAGAGCTTCCTCATGATCCGGGTCGAGGACCATCTAGGTCCGTTCAGATGTAGCCTAGGCTGGTCTAGGTCATCTAACGGCATCCAGGCCGTTCTAGGCGTCTCTACGAGTCTCCGTTGAGTCGGTAAGTCTTCCAAGACAGTGCATGTGGTGGGATAGGGGCTAAGGTCATGATGACCTCCGTAGGAGGGGTTCTCGGTTACATGTTATTGTAACATTACCTCCGTTTCTGGGTCGAAGTCGCCGACTACGACAAAACTCTCTCCCGGGTTTCTTCGTCTGGAGTGGCAGTAGTACTGCGGGTATCAATGGGAGTGGGCGAGCGCGGCGCGGGGTTGTTCGCGATTAATTCTTCTTGCGCAACGTGGTTCTTCTCCCAATCTACGAGGAGTTCGTAGTATTCCTCGTCGTCTCGAAACTCTGGGAGGCATGATACTTCTCCGAGTTGAGGGCAGTGGACCAACAGGTGGTCGGGTCCGATTTCGTTGCAGATGCAACACACAGCGTCTGGACACTTTCTAAAGTTGTGTCCGTATCCTCCGCATCGTCGACAGATGCAGGTGCGGTCTATGCGCGCTTTCTTGGTAGGGCGCGGGGGTCTTTCTAATTTTTCTCCAACGCGCTTCTTCGCGATGTCTACGAGGTCGCTGAAGTTGTCGGGGAGGAGGTGTAGCGCCATTGCGCGGATTTTCTTCTGGTCTTCCAGCACTAGGAGGGCTCTAGTTGCTGGGTCTAAGTCTTCACGGTTCACCGATATTTCTAGGTGTCGCGTGGTGCGGATGATGTCTATCACCAGTGATGCGGATGCGGCGATGTTGACATCTGACTGTCCTAGGATGTCGCTGATCTCTAGGAAGTGGTCTGGGGAGAGAATGGCCGTTTCGGCGACGGCGCCTTTCTCGAGGTGGTCGAGGATTTTGGAAAATCCCGAGTTCTTTAGGGGAACGATGGCAGAGGCTTCGATGTTGTTAGGCATGATTGTTGCGAGAGTTTCTGGCGAGTATATCTTGTAGAGGGTTTATATGGACCTCCAAGAGTGCTCTAAGCTCCGCTTGATCAGTTAACTTATCTTTTAATCTCTTTATCAAAGTTCAATCATGAAGGCGTGGAGTGCCTCATGGTTCTCTTGGCAGAGGGGGAAGTCACCATGCCAGTGCGGTTCTGTGATAGTTTCGAGTCATTCCGGACTATCAGAAGCGGAAGTTTTGCGTCATTGCGGACGTGCGTGTCTTGATCTTTCGTTTTAATCGAATTCTGTCAAGATCTGGGGTATGTCGTTTCGAGATGTTCTTTTTTGTTGATTTTCTCGATCGGCGTTCTAGAGGGTTCCATGGGCTTGCAGGAGTTTCCACGGAGTTCGTCTCGTGATAGTTTAGCGTCTTTCCGGACAGTGGGTGAAGGTAAGGCATCCGGGGCTTGCAGGAGTTTCTCGGCGGGTTAGTCTTGTCTTCAAGGTGAAGGGGTCCGTATCTCCGGGTTCGTCCTTCTATTCTCAGTTTAGAGTCATGATGGACTCAGGATAGTTTAAGGTCTTTCCGGACCGAGGATAGTTTCAAGTCATTTCGGACTTCTGCGCAGTTTATAGTCGTGCCGGACTCAGGTACAGTTTATAGTCATGCCGGACTCGTACGCAGTTTATAGTCATGCCGGACTTGTGGCGATTGTCGATATTTATAGATAGGGGTGCAGCCGAAGTGAGGGGAATTAAGAGTGAAATGAGTTTTTAAATGAGAATTTCACCCCCCAAGTAGGTCGTTTGATCACCGATCAAATCTAGAAATCTAAATCAAGGTTTCCGCAGTCAGGGTCAGACTGATCCGTGACTGGTGCAATCTCTCCCTGGAATAATCTAACATCCACAGGGTCGTCCTGATTAGGACAGTGGTTTGCGATACGCTTTATCGTTCGCTGAAAGTAGTTCTGCTGTTTAATCCGATCTACTTCCATCGGAGTTGTCGCGGGTTCTTCTGCTATGGCAGGGGCCGCGGAGGTGGTATTAACGACTATCTCGTCGTTATCTTCATCGTCAGTTTCTTCCATCATTTCCTTATCGGCTGGTCTGGGCACGAGGAATGGGCGAGTGACTGGTGCGGTTCTTGATCGTTCTGGGAAAGAAACGATCGGCTCGGCCTGGTTGATCCATTGATCAGCGGCCGGTTCTTCTTCTACTAGTTTATACTCTTGGCGGAGTTTCTTCGGTGACGGCGCTTCTGCCGTGACTACCGATCTACCTTTTCCAAGAACCGAGGCAGGTTCTGCTGAAAAGACGTACTTCTGAGTTTTCTCCGGTTCAGGGGCCGGTCTAGGGATCTTTGCACGAGGGGGTTCCTCGTCGAAAGTGGCTCTGCCTTTTCCTAAGATCTGGGCAGGTACTGCAGAAAATCTATATTTATCTGCGGGTGGTGAGGTGGCAACTAAGTCCGACTGTCTCGTGGACTTCTTCTCGACGTTCTGGGATGTCGAGGCGTGGGGTTCCAACGGCTTGGTAGCCGGTGCGTACTCGAGGATTTCGTGGAGTTCCTCGATCGGGGTTAATGTCGGATTGAATTTCCGTCTTCCCGAAGTTAGTTTCGACTCGTTTCGGAGATCTTCCATCGGCGAATCAGCCGGTTCTAGTAGTTTAGCCTCATTCCGGAGGTTCTGCGTGACAGGTGCTTCTGTCAGATCTAGTTTATACTCATCTCGGAGTTCTTCTTTCTTCTTCGTCAGGGTGCCTACCTCCCTTCTTTGGCGCGTGTTTCGCGTCCTCTTTTCTTTACGGAAGAGCGGCTTCAACCCGTTCCTCTTCCTACCTCTCTCAATCATTCTCTCAAGTCCTTTTGACTTGTCAGTGGCAGGGATAGTTACCGTTCCCTTCTTCCAGTCTATGGAAGGTTTCACAGCGGCCAGCCATGTGAATCCGAGTAAGATGTCGTCTAAGCGCGGCATTATGAGGAATCGTCCGTGCATTACTCGGTCGTCGATCTTTATGATGAGTCGGCAAAATCTTTTGACGTCGCCTCCTCTCGTTCCGTCTCCGTTCATTACCCTTTTTGGTTTCTGAAGGAGGTGCGTTCTGATGCAATATCTCTTGCAGAGTTCTCTGCTTATAAATGAGTCGCATGCGCCCGAGTCTATGACCATAGTGGTCGTAATGGGCGGCTTAGTGGTGGACATGAGGGTGGCGGCAACCCGTAGTTCCTTCTTCTTGGATACGCTATTCTTGTTAATTATTAGCGGTCCAGTCTTCTCCTTACCAGCCGCTGTCTTGCGGACTGTTTCTTCTTCGATAATCTTTCTCCTCATCGGGCACTTGTGGTCGTTGGCTTTGTGTCCAACGTGATGGCAAGAAAAGCATCGTCGTTGCTTCAGGTGGTGTCTTGTCTCCATTCCTGAAAGGTTGGCGGCGGCGTCGGTATTTCTTCTGATCATCATGATCTGAGTCGGTGCGTTCATGGTAGAGGGAGTAGTGTGAAGGGACAGTGATAGGCTTAAGGATTCAAAGCTTCGTACGTCTGTCTTGACAATTTGTGGATAGCTTTACGCCGGTCTTGGCGGTTTGGTCACGAGAGTAGAGGTCTACGCTTGTCTCAGCGGTGCGGTCGGTATTGATTCAACGGCGGTGCGTGATGAGCAGGGCCGGGAATGTAAGACTTGATTCTTTTGATACGAACTAGGATAGTTCGAGCTCTCCCTAGGCGGATTGCCTAATCTGATAGCGGGCTCGCTATTGGAGAGACGGGGATCTTCTCTCGAATGAGAGGTTCGGGGGTTCCACTTAAGGTAGCGTCGGCTTTCCTTAAGGTGCGGCTTAGACTGAAGGACTGGGACTGTCTTTCAGAGGAAGTTTTGGATAAAACCTAGTAGAATCAAGTAGGGAATATACATGATTCTGTCTGCTCTATATACTGTCGTCCGTGTGCACAGACCAATACTACGTTCGGTAGGTAGGTATGAGTGTGTCTATACAAGGGCATCTTATCTGATGCCATGCGGGCGATTATCTATACATGAGGCTTACCATGCCTCTTCTATCTGTCCTCAAGGCGTAGCATGCCTTGGAGTCTAACTGCGCATGCTGAGGCATGCGGCTTCTCTTCTGACCATGAGGCAGAGCTTCCTCATGATCCGGGTCGAGGACCATCTAGGTCCGTTCAGATGTAGCCTAGGCTGGTCTAGGTCATCTAACGGCATCCAGGCCGTTCTAGGCGTCTCTACGAGTCTCCGTTGAGTCGGTAAGTCTTCCAAGACAGTGCATGTGGTGGGATAGGGGCTAAGGTCATGATGACCTCCGTAGGAGGGGTTCTCGGTTACATGTTATTGTAACAGTGTGCATGATTTTCCCTGTGGACATACATGCGCTGACGGACACTCAGCGTGGAAATCACGACATCACGAGCGCGATGATGTTCAAGAGCAATCCCACTTTCGTCTTTCACGACTCATGCGGTTTCGAAGCGGGGTCTGAAGAAGAATTTGAGAGCATGAAGGAATTTATTGCAGAATGCGCACATGCAATGAAAATAGAGGACCGAATTCATGCTATCTGGTAAGCAGCCCCCTTCCGACGTTCCGCGCTTTTTGATTGCCATCAGGTACTGTATTCCGATGGATGACCATTGTCGAACATTCCAGCGGTCGGAAGAGAAGTTCTTCCAGGAGTGCGACACCGGGCACGGTGAGCTTGCAACTTCATCGTTAGTTGCTGTGCTGGGACTGAATGACCGATCTTCAGTTCCTGTGGTCGTGGTGTTCACAAAATTCGAAGCTCTGAATCCAGTCGCATATGGTGAAATCAAGAAGCAACTACGAGGGGTATTGGGCGAAGAGCGGTCAAAGAGGATTGCCGAGCGTGTCGAGGAACTTTTCACCAAGACAGGAGTCTTGGATCGGTTGTACAACCCCAAAAACCGTGCGCATCCCAAGTCCCATGTATGCTTACAAAGTGAGTGGTTGAGATTGATTTGTCCCATGTCAAAGTTGACATTAGCAACCGTCCTAGATATGAACCAACAAAATACAAACTGCGACTCTCTACTGGAAAGCACCACTCTCGCACTGGACAACGAAGAATTACGGTTGTGCTTGGTGTCGACACAAAAATCGAACATGGAACTTTGCATCAAGTGCGCCATCATGTGAGTCTCAAATTTGCAAGTCACGTATTTTTGTTTCAACATCATCTAGAACACTCGTTGATCATGCAGATAAGCAAATCGATTATGACCGCTATCAGTATAGCATTGCTAAGTGGTTTCCACATATCAAAGTAAGACGAAGATTGATTCAATCTGACGATTCCCTGGTAATGGTACTCACGGATGGTAAATATTGAGGCACTAAAACTGTAGAGATTCTGATATATTTTCCTTGATTACAGCTGGTAAGATCGTGGCTTATGAAGCTACGCAGGGACAATGCTGATGCCTTACTGCTGCTTGCCTGTTGACAGTATGTAAGTGCCTTGATGGTTTCTAGTCCTCGACCCATACTCATGGTCCCCATCCCTCGCTGCTGCTCGCCTGTTGACAGCGGGTAAGTGCCTTGATGGTTTCTGGTCCCCGACCCATGCTCATGGTCGCCATCCCTCGCTGCTACTCCCCTGTTGACAGTGGGTAAGTGCCTTGATGGTTTCTGGTCCCCGACCCATGCTCATGGTCGCCATCCCTCGCTGCTACTCCCCTGTTGACAGCATGTAAGTGCCTTGATGGTTTCTAATCCTCGACCTCATGTTCATGATCGCCATCCCTTGCTGCTGCTCGCCTGTTGACAGGAGGTAAGTGCCTCGATGGTTTCTAGTCCTCGACCCATACTCATGCTCGCCATCACTCGCTGCTGCCTGCCCATTGACAGTATGTAAGTGCCCTGATGGTTTCTGGTCCTCAACCCATGCTCATGATCACCATCCCTCACTGCTGCTCGCCTGTTGATAGGACGTAAGTGCCTTGATGGTTTCTGGTCCTCGACCCATGCTCATGAGCGCCATCCCTCGCTGCTGCTCCCCTGTTGATAGAAGGTAAGTGCCTTGATGGTTTCTAGTCATTGACCCATGCTCATGCTCCCTATCCCTCGCTGCTGCTCCCCTGTTGACAGAACGTAAGTGCCTCGATGGTTTCTAGTCCTCGACCTCATTTTCATGATCGCCATCCCTTACTGCTGCTTGCCTATTTACAGGGAGTAAGCTTGATGGTTTCTAGTCCTCGACCCATGCTCATGGTCCCATCCCTCGCTGCTGCTCGCCTGTTGACAGAACGTAAGTGCCTTGATCGTTTCTAATCCTCGACCCATGCTCATGATCGCCATCCCTCGCTGCTGCTCTCCTGTTGACAGCAAGTAAGTGCCTTGATGATTTCTAGTCCTCGACCCATGCTCATGATCGCCATCACTCGCTACTGCCTGCCTGTTGACAGGACGTAAGTGCCTTGATGGTTTCTGGTCCTCGACCCATGCTCATGAGCGCCATCCCTCGCTGCTACTCCCCTGTTGACAGTTGGTAAGTGCTTTGATGGTTTCTAGTCCTTGACCCATGCTCATGATCCCTATCCCTCGCTGCTGCTCCCCTGTTGACAGAACGTAAGTGCCTTGATGGTTTCTAGCCCTTGACCCATGCTCATGGTCCCATCCTTCGCTGCTGCTCGCCTGTTGACAGTATGTAAGTGCCTTGATGGTTTCTAGTCCTCGACCCATGCTCATGGTCCCATCCCTCGCTGCTGCTCGCCTGTTGATAGGAGGTAAGTGCCTTGATTGTTTCTAGTCCTCGGCCCATGCTCATGATTGCCATCCCTCGCTACTGCTCGCCTGTTGACAGTATGTAAGTACCTTGATTGTTTCTAGTCCTTGATCCATGCTCATGATCCCTATCCCTTGCTGCTGCTCCCCTGTTGACAGAACGTAAGTAGGGATCCGCACGGGTAAACCCGCGGGTGTCTCGAGGCCAACCCGTACCCGTACCCGCCACGGGTATGTACCCGTAGACATGGGTACGGGTGCAGGTGCGGGTGTGTACCCATGGCGGGTGTACCCTCCCCCACCTGATCCCAGCAGCCACCAGTGCTTAGCGCACACGCCCGGCGCACATCAGTGAATGCTGACGTGGCTCAGACATATGCGGAGGACACTGGAGAGCGCCAGAAGAGTGGAAGGAGGGACGAGACAGGAAGAACGAGATGGAGGGTAGGATGCAGTGTACGGCGCGAGTGGTAGTAGTAGGGCATGAGTGGTGGTAGTAGGGCGCGAGTGGTGGTAGTAGCACACTGTAAAGTTAAAGATAGTAGTAAACAAGAAAAAAACATGCGCACCTGGAACAAGCAGCGAACGACTGAGAGCAATGAGCAACGAGATGGGAAGAATGAGAGGGCGCGAGTGGTGGTATGCACAAGAGTAATCATAAGTTACTAAAAATGATCAGTTAGCATGATGAAGTAGCATAAAAACACACACCTTTGCAGCCCTAATACCACTAACTCCCCATCTAGAGTCGACTCTACATGCGCCGCGTGCGCGCGCTGTGAATGTACCCAAGCATAGAATGGCTACACTGCGACTGTGACGGGTACATCATGGGTACGGGTATTTGTGCGGGTCACAAAATCCTGACCCGTACCCGTACCCGGCAGTACCCGTACCCGTGACCTGCTGCGGGTTACCCATACCCATGCAGTTCCCTAAACGTAAGTGCCTTGATGGTTTACAGTCCTCGACCCATGCTCATTGTGAGTAGGAACTAAAAGGTGAGGTCTCAGCGTCCGAGAAAGAACTGCTATGACATTAACAATACCTAAAAGGTGAGGTCTAGACACGAAGTAAGGTAAGACAAAGGCGGCGGGCAAGAGAAACGTGATACATACCTCAGCGTCTGAGAAAGAACTGCTGAGGTATGAACAAACATGAAACACGAGCTTATAAGGTGAATTACGTAAGATGACGAGTCCGAGACAAATCTAGTAAGTGTCGACGTTGAACTCCAATACACCCCCTCAACGAGACACTAAAGCGAGTCCCGCACGGTGCTGGATGAAGATCGGACGAGGTAAGGCTTTGGTAAAGATGTCCGCGGTGTTCTTATGCGTTGAGAGCCATATGGGCAGGAAAGTGCCTTCTTCTATGTGCCGGCGGATGAAATGATACCGGAGGTCAATGTGTTTCGTGCGTATATGATTCACAGCCTCTTTCGAGAGTGCAATGGCCCCAGCATTGTCGGCGAATAACTGTAAGGGAAGAGTGATGGGAACACTGATGCAACCGAAGAGTGATTGGAGCCAAAGCCCGTCCTGTATCGCTGCTGTCAAAGCCATATACTCCGCTTCCATGGACGAGAGCGCGTGAGTGGTCTGCTTCTTGGCCGAGTGGGATATTGGACCCCCGTTGTAGAACTTAGACATAGCCCAAAACGGAGATGCGGTCCTCTGGGCAGGAAGCCCAGTCGGAGTCACTAAATCCGTGAAGGCCAGGATTCACACCGGCACCCCCATAATGGATGCGCATGCCCATGGTGCCCGAGAGATAGCGTAGGACGTGTTTCACAGCGCCAGTAGTGGCTGGGGTCTGGCGAGGCGTTCTGTTGTGCCAGGCGCATGACGGTGTGCGCAATGTCTGGGCGCGTGTACATCGCGAGGTATAATAGTTCACCAACTATCTTACAATATTCAGATTCCAGGTCGTCGATGTGTGGATGCAGGTCAGTCGGTCGCCCGAAGGGAAAGCTAGGATCCATGGGTAGTGCGACGGGGTTGCAGCTGGACATCCCATGTTCCTGCAGAAGATAGATGATATAGTCCTCTTGATGCATCCACAGTTCGCGCAGTTTGACGATTGCGGACAAACTGAATACCGAGATACTTCGTGACATGGTCCGAGGTCAGTGATGCCAAAACGCTCCGCTATTTTTGACTTTGTTTGGTCCAGGAACGCACAATTGTTCGCACCCGCCAGGCCGTCATCGACGTGCCAGGCGATGATGCAGATGATCCTTGTACCTTCGCCGTTGATGTGATCAAAAATGAACACAGCGTAATCAGCATCGCAACGAATGAACCCGAGGCTAGTGAGCACGGCCTGCAGGAGCTCGTACCAGTCGTATGCGGCTTGCTTCAAACCATAGAGCGAGGACAGCAGGTGAGCGACGAGGCGTTCTCCGTTGGGCCCAAAACGTTCGAAGCCGGGTGGTTGACACATGTAGACGTCTTCCTGTAGCTTCCCCCACAAGAAGGCTCTCCGCGTGTCGAAGCAGTCAAGCTCCCAGTCGTTAGCGGCCACATATGCAGATAGAACTCGGATAGACGCTGATTTCGCCACTGGCGCAAACATCTTACCAAAATCCACACCTGGGATCTGGGAGAATCCCTGTGCGACAAGCCTCGCTTTGAACACGGGTCCGCCTTTGAGATCCTCCTTGAACTCTAACACCCACCTACAACCGATTGCGCGTCGGTCGTCGGGTAGGAGCACTAACTCGTAAACGTTCATTTCTGACATGAGGTTGATTTCCTTGTGCATTGCAGCCAGCCAGTTGTCTGCATCAGGCCGGCGCATGGCCTCATCGTAGGTGGCGGGTGGGACCTTTAAGTTGTAACCGTGGGCGAGAGGGTTGCGTCTGACATCGCTGCGGATCGACAGGCAAGCTAACTCAACCACAATCAGATTTGCAATGACCTGCGGGAATCCGATCTCCTCATCATCAGGGACGATGGCATCAGAATCAGGTAAAGGCGGTGAGTCGTTGAGTGCTGTGGCGTCGGGGGAGGCTGTGACAGGAGGAGGCGGTACTCCGTGAGATTTTGCTGCGTGGATTTCGCGTTGGCGCTGTAGAAACAACAATACTGCGAGGAGCAAATGATGATCGCTCCTAACTGATATATTTGTGTTGTGGTCTTTGCACTGCCTAGTCTGCTATACTTGAGACGACAAGTGCGTTCGACCCAGGGGTCTGCGGTCTGGGAATAGTCTTGGGGGTAAGTGAGTGATGTGGAGTCAATAGTCCGAGCGCGGGAAACAATGTCCGAAGGTATAATTACGATGTCCGATGCAAAAGCGTCGGGTCCGATGTTTTCGGGGTTTCGGGTTATCGGGTTCTGGTTCGGGGTGTCGGAAACTAATAGTAACGCTATAGCGAGCGTTGGAAGAGCGAGCGGTGTGCGCGATAATAACAATGACTGATACGGATAATGAAAGAGCGATGATATTCGCAATATCAACTAAGAACTACGAAATATCGGGTTTGACCACTAAGCGTCGGGGAACTGCTCCCCTCTACTTGGATAATGAATAATGCTCGAGGTCAGTCCAATATATATGTAAGTACGTAGAAATGCGGAACCCGTAGGCGAAAGTAGCGGCGGAGTATTTCGGATCCGAAGTACATGTAAATAAACATGAGGCGCTGCGGACTATGGGAAAACATGTAATAGCGCTGGCTACGACGTGAGTAATGTGCGAAATAATGAACTACACACCTAGTGGGGCTAGCAAGACAGGACGGGACACGGATAGGACAAGTGCGCGGGAAAACATCGGGTCCGATGCAGCCTAAACGTCGGGTTGGCGGGTTAGCGTCGGATAACATCGGGAAGTGATTAGCATGTGACGGGTATTTGACGTGTACTGTGAAATAGCTCGATACGAGCCCAGCGCCAGCTCGTGTCCTACAGCGCGCAAGCCGTGACTGATCAGAGGCGAGGCGGTTCTTGAACACCTGACCCTTCTCGGTCAGGACAGGAATGCAAGACGATCTGCGTGTGACTGATGGAGCAGTCAGAGGGGGCGCTGAAGTGGGAATGGGCGTGGGAGGAGGCACGCGAGAAGTTGCAGGAGTATCGTCCTCGTCATCGTCGTCACTGTCTGGGAAGGGGCGATTAGTGAACGCCTCGTCAAATATGACGTCTCTTGAGTTAAAGAAAGCACCCGTGACAGCATCTCTACAGTGCCAGGCTTTGACACCTGGAGGGTAGCCCATGAAGATGGCCTTGCGTGACTGGGGACCGAGCTTCTCCTGAAGTTCTGTGGGAATTCGTGCGAAACACCTGGCGCCAAAAACGCGAAGGTGAGCGAGCATCGGTTGTGTCCCGTTGAGCATTTCATAAGGCGTCTTTCCTGGTGGTAAGGCACGCGATTCCGATCTGTTGAACAAGTACGCTGCTGTGAGTGCGGCTTCTCCCCACAGCGTTCTCGGGAGACGTGCGTGATCCAACATCGCATACATGCGCCCCTCAATTGTGCGCATGACACACTCGGCTTTCCCGTTCTGTTGATGCGCGTATGGAGCAGAACGTTGTCGCTCGATCCCTGCAGATTCCAGTGCTGTCGTAAATGCGTCGTTCATAAATTCACCCCCATTGTCCGAACGGAAGACTTTGACTCGAAGTCCGGACAAATTCTCCCACTTAGCTCGTACTGTCGTCCATGCGCTCAACGCTTGATCCTTTGAGGCGAGGAGCTGAACATTGAGAACGTGAGTGTGATCATCCAGAAAAATGATGAAGTAGCGTTTGGAATGCGGCATGATAACGGGGATGGGTCCACACACATCTGAGTGAATCAGTTCTAAGAACTTAGATGCGCGCTCGGTCTCTGAGGCGTGAAATGGGAGATGCGGATGTTTTGCCATGATGCAAGATTTGCACGTCGACATTGGAGAGCTCGAGTCGAACATCACGCCTTTTGCTACCTTGTCCAAACGCGTCACAGCGTTACGGCCTAGGTGACCGAGGCGAGCATGCCACAGATTGAATGTGCGAGGAGCTTGGACGAACACTGAGAACTCAGGTACAGATGAGTCAACGGGCGCCTCAGTGTGGGGAATGAAATCGAGGTCAACAGCATAGAGTTTTCCCGTAGCAGGGATGGAGCCGAGAATGTTACCCTGGTGTCCCAGTTCACACGTCATGTTGGCCTTGAAGTTTACGTCCCATCCTTTCGCGTTCATGCAAGAAACGGAAAGGAGGTTGAGCATTGCATTCGGCGCGTGAAGGCAGTTGGAGAGTTTTACACGAAGGCGGCGCTTTCCGATAGTCATCCACCCGATGCACGTCCCTCTGCCAGTAGTCTCTAACACCCCATAGTTCGCAGTGTGGACAGAAACCGGATCTTCCGTAGAGTAGGTGTGGAAGAAGCAGCGATCCTTCACTAAGGTCACTGTAGTCCCTGAGTTGAGAATGGTGGAGAATGGGAGCGAGACCACACAGGAAACATCATCCACGACTTCGGTGATGGATGCGAAAGAAACGTCATCATAGAGGCTGGTGAGATCGGTCTGCATGACAGCGGCTGCGATCGCAGGAGTAGAGGATGTGGGAGTGGTTGAAGGAGGCGCAGATGTAACTACGGCGGCGACAGTAGTGTCCTTCTTCTTGTTTCGCATCCATGGTGCTTGACCCTCCATACCTCCACCTTTCCCGTAGCAATGCGTGTGATCATGGTCGCCCTTGTTGCAGCCGGGCGTCGTGCAAAACACTCCCTCAGGGTTATGTCTGTGTTTGCGGAGTCCGGTGATGGGGTTAACGTTAGACATGCTCGCATTAGATGCTGTGGTGACATTTGCGTACTCAGAGCCGAGACGTGCTAAATGAATGGCACGCACATGTACATGGCGCGCGGCTTCAGCAGTGATCCGGGAGACGCAGCTGTCGATGGTGAACATGGAGGCTGTGCCGGCCACTGCTGTCATGATCTCATCATGCATCCACTGTTCCAGCATTGACTTGAACTGTTGCCATATGGGTGTATGAGGTAGCCCAATAAGTAGACTGTAAATGGTGTCACTCTCTCTCAGAGCAGCACCCGAATCGCTAAGTCTTTCACGGAGAACAGCGTGTTATCCGACGTAATTCGTCGCGTCCGCAGAGTCCTTCATTCAAAGTGCGTCAAGCCGTTGACGTAGTTGATACTGGGCGCTGGTGTCAGTTCGATTAAAATGCTCCGCAAGCATTTGCCACGCCTTGCGAGCTGAGACTGTGTGCGAGCGTGACACGAGAGAGCCGACGGATGGACTGAGACGACGAGTGATGAGGTCTTTAGCCTTCATATCATTCAATAGCCAATCACGCATTTCTGTTCTTTCAGCAGCCGTGATGTTGGCTGGATTAACAGGAACAGGTAAGGTGGACGGTGTCCCGAGGAGATCTGCAGGATCGACTATCGTATTGATGTGACACCAGAGATCTTCGCACACGAGTGCGTACTGCATCTTGGTGGACCATCCGATGTAGTTTTCAGACCCCAACAGTTCGGGAATGTGGTCGTACTTCCCCATGACGATACTGTTGTGAGAGGACAACAAGGTAAAGCAAGATTATACGAGCAGCGAGCGGGCGTGAGGGAAGTTCGATCTGATAGTTTCGTCTGAAGGCTCAGTAAGAGCCAGGGCTCATAACCTGTGAGTTGAAACTAAAAGGTGAGGTCTCAGCGTCCGAGAAAGAACTGCTATGACATTAACAATACCTAAAAGGTGAGGTCTAGACACGAAGTAAGGTAAGACAAAGGCGGCAGGCAAGAGAAACGTGATACATACCTCAGCGTCCGAGAAAGAACTGCTGAGGTATGAACGAACATGAAACACGAGCTTATAAGGTGAATTACGTAAGATGACGAGTCCGAGACAAATCTAGTAAGTGTTGACGTAGAACTCCAATACAAATGTCACCGCTATACCAAGTTCACCTCTCACCCACACCCATTCTCTAACAATATGACCATAGTCTCAAATGATCCCACTTTGTGGCCGTTCATCAATGCATATCGTTGTTCCAGCTATTTTGGAGGTTTGTGGAGAGCAGTTGGATGTTGAAGCTGATGTTTCAATCTGAACTTGGCTACGGTTTTGCAGTTGCCGCCTTTGTTGTAATGTCATATGATTGGGGTGAGCACGATAATATTAAAGGATTACTGATATCTTACAAGTATTTTCAGCACTCACATTCGGACAAGAGGTATGTCGATGCCATGACTGGAGCAGCCATCTCGCTAAGAATCTTTTTATAGGTTGAACTCATCTGGGTGAGTAGAGTCTCATGGCAGAAGGAACACACATGAAAATGCACTTATTTACAGAGGCAACGCTGGTCCCTAATGACAGTGATGTATCTCAGTGTATGTAGCTTGTTTGTCGGAGCTGCCATTTTGTGCTGACTTGAAAGTATCCTAGGTGCGCTACCTTGGAATCCTAGTTGCTGTGTATGTTCGGAAGGCTAAACAATTGGTGTTGTACTAATCATCTATCTCTCATAATTAGCCTGGATATCCTGAGTATGTTTCCTTAGTTCATTCGCTATCTTTGCTTCTTCTGACCAACGGCATCAGTCGGTATTCCGACCATCTTGCTGACAGATACAGTGAGTCTTCTGTATAAACGCCTACCATTCCCCTCAAACTAATCATGGTGTTCTGTAGCAGTGGGTGTGGTTCTTTGCTGACTTCTCAGTCCACTGATGTCTGCCACACTATACTACCAAAGATGTGAGTCTGTTTGGAGTGTGTGCTACGTGAGACTGGTCACTGATCGGATTTGTCAGGTTGGATGATGTACATTATATCTAATTGGACGGGTCTTGTGGTATTTGCGATGCTGTGGGGTAAGCTTTGCACTTGTGAGACCTCAGTGATATTGGAATGACTAAAACATACTGCAAGCCATCATCATCACTCAGCTGCATGCCATGTATCAATGAGACAGAAAGATCCTGATATTTCTCATTGTCACTTTCCTGGCAATCAGCACTTTTGGTGGAGCGACAGTCTTAATGTTAACGATGCAGACTTCAGGAGGTATGCTTAATTATGGATGAAAACGAACATGCACAGGGCTCATTGATGGATACCAGAGGAACTCGTTCTCTCCGGCACCTACCAGTGCACAATTGGCTATACAGGAGATACCCCCGTTCTGGATTCTGTTTTGTGGATAATCTTCATTGTTTGGGAGGTCCTCACACTATGTCTCGCAGTCTGGATTGGGGTAAAACACTTCCGTGAACTGCGATTACATTCAGCAGGAGAGATTATCGGGGACTTTTTTATGGTGTTGATGAAAACTCACGTGGTTTACTTTGCGAAGTAAGTTCATATTCTGATTATTGTCCTTTTGTCCACTGAAGGGTCGGACATGATAGCTTTGTTGCTGTCTCTTGCTTCGAGCTCATTATTGAATTCTCTCCCACATCATCAACGGTATGTCAATCTTTCACTTACCTCTACATGTGACCACGATCTATCATTTCTACAGATCCTAGAAGATCAGACTTTGTCTGGCTCGTTTGAGATTTTGATGGTCGTGCAGATGTTCGTGCTAGGACCACGGCTGATCCTTGGCATTCGAGAATATAATGCTGAACTTGTGGCTGACTCTGACGCAGCAACCGGCATGACCTCAATCGCTTTCCAAGAGTGTGTGCATATATCACGCCCGTCAAGTCTTCCGTGTTCTCCTCATTAACAGAGCTCACCATGATCAGGCTCAGATCTTCTAGAGTCTACGCATCTTGTGTTGACAGCTGTTAATTTCCTTACCGATGATGCAACAATGTTGTATCGTAATTGAATGGTCTTGCAATGCTATCTATCTCTCCTGCACGAACATCATTTCCATTGATACAGTCACCAATGGTTTGGCACGAGCTGGGAGGTCGTTTTGGGGATGCAATTTCAGCGGCATCGTGGCCTTAACCTTGGCAGCTTGGCTTGAGCATTTTCCACCAGGCCCAAGCAAGGGTTTTCAGGCGCAACACATCAGTAATGTATGCACTGTGACCTGTGAGACCTGCAAGCACACTCCCGCAAAGTCGCGGTTCTGGAGCATTTGGACTGGCAATCTCTGTTGGAAGAACGTCCTGCCAATATATCCTGTTAGTCAAATCAGCGGAGATCTCGACAGTTAGTACGTGCGGTGATTCACTGAGTTCTGTGTAACATGGTCAGCTAGACGCCCGTGCATAATTGTTACACCAAAAGGTGAAATACTGAAAGCTTATGTTTCAGTATCAGCGATGGTATATGTACTGATTATGAAAACTCAGGTAAGCCAGCGTGCTTACATTCTGATAAGTATTGTGAGCAGAGCATTCTGCTATTGCATGATCGTATGACCGTCTGTATTCGCTTGAGTAAAAAGTTGGACCAAGGAAAGAGTTCCACGACCAGATGGTGAAATTTGGCATCGACAGGGAAACAATTACAAGTGGTAGTCTGGACGTATGTGGGATTGGCATGAGTCAGGAGTTATACTCTATGGCAACACATACTTGAAACATAGTCTCCCAGTCAGATTTTTAGGCCTTGGTCGAATCACTGCGGAAGTGAGAAACTGATCAGACCTGGAAAGGGTACGAAAAGACGATGTAAACAGTATCTAAACAGATGTAGCAAATGACACAGATTCCGAGGTGTTAGAATCTGGAGAGATCCTCAATTCAGACTGTTATCCAACACTGGAAAACTCGATGTTGCAGAGGTGCACAGAAACAGTAGAACCTAAACCATATGTCTGAATTGTGTCTGAATATGATCATGATTGACTCGGATTAGTATCTAGTTACAAATGTGCAGATCCCTATGATTCTGGGGATTTGCCAGCTTCTGGGTGCTTCACACTGGCTTTTCCCCATTCCCCACAGCCCCCTTGTTCGCCTAACAATGTACGGGGCACAGCGCCGCCCTAGCGGTGCTCCAGAAAATCAGCCAATGAACGACACGAACTCGAATCCATACCAGTTTGGTTCCCCAGGCCACGACTCAAACCCGAGTCCATACCAGTTTCCACCTCTACTGACTCCTGGAACCCCGCTATCGAATGCTGGCGGTCATGTGCTGCCACAGGTGGATGATTTTTTCAGTCGACCGCCTCAGGCTGGTGAAGCCGCAAAGCCGCCGGCGCAGGAATATTGAACGCCGTCCCATTAGTGCTGCCGTGGTCTGGTTTGGTCCGGTTCAGAGGGTCCTGGACGAGAACCGAGAACTGAACCATGGTCCGGTTCTGCAAAATCTTCGAACCCTGAACCGGACCACAGAGAACAGTTCTCTGTGGTCCGGTTCAGTTTTTTTCTGGTCCGAACTCGAACCGAACCCGAAAATTTTCAATGGTGAGCGCGAAAAAAAAACATTGAAATACTACTTTACACATCGAGTAGCTACTCCAATGACATAGCTACATACTCTCTGCCTCCGCTCCGAATATGGAACTTGACTTGGCAAGCAGAAACCAGATAGAGGAAAATTGGGGAGATGAAGACAGGGCAGTATGCACAGTATCATTGTCCCCAGACGCTGTGAGGAACATGAAAGTAGGAAATGAGGACAGTGCAGTTCTTGGCAATGAAGGGTGCACGCTGGACGCTTAGACAGAGGATCACGTTGTTTGGCCGAGAGCAGACAGCGGGTGGGTGAGAGAAGGCGGGGTGAGAGACAGCGGGGTGAGAGACAGCGGGCAAGAGACAGCGGGCAAGAGACAGCGGGCAAGAGCAGCCAGCGAGGAGACAGCCAGATGGCTCGCTGGTGAGGTCGAGTGGGTGGATGGGTAGCTCGGGTTGGCCGTCGAGAGAATGGTCATGTTGAGTGGTGTCGTGCAAGGGACATAGTCTAACAGACAGTCAGCTTGGCAATTACGGATGGAGGTGAATAAAATACAAGAGTTAAGCGATGGTAAAACTAGCGCCATTACCGTTGTCAGCGAAGGAAGACATTCAGGACAACGAGAGAGGTACGTACAGTTTGAGTCGCGCCTCCATTCTCAGATGTTGCCGTCACCTTCTCGAGTGAGAGACAGCGGGGTGAGAGACAACGGGCGAGAGACAGAGGGTGAGAGACAGTGGGCGAGAGCAGTCAGCAGTCGTGCAAGACAGTGAGTGAGAGACAGTGGGTGAGTGAGACACGGCGAGCGAGCCAGCAAAAGCCAGCCAGCAAGAACAGCAAGCAAGTGAGAGGGGATGTGGTGAGGTGGCAGGCATTAACATAGGCGCAGGTGGCGTAGCGTGTGATGGGTTGTGCGCTGGTAGCGATGGGTGCTGGCCTGCACAGTGTTGTAGCCGGTCCTCAATGAATAGAACCTCCTGTTATACTGGAAAATATATCAAAGTTATATATCGGTTAGTTTATTAGCTTGATTGATGGTTAATTGGTACCTTGAGCTTGATTGGACAACCGGGAGCATGAAATGCGAGTGTCCGGACAGAATTGGAAGTTAGTTCAGATGTCGATGATCCTATGTAGAAGTCGAAGTACCCATGAGTGCGGAAGGGAAGTCACCAGCCTCGTCGACGAAGTTTCGGTTCGCGGTTCAGAACGGTTCGGGAAGGTCTGAACCCATGACCGAACCTCCCCAGGACCAACGAACCGTGAACCTCATTTCGGTTCGGTCCGGCCAAAATGGAGAACCGTGGACCAAACCATGGACGAACCTGACCATTGGTCAGGTTCGAACCACGGTTCGGAACCGGACCACGGCAGCACTAGTACCAGGAAGATGACAATACATATCACCCTAGGGACTGATCCTACTGACCTATACTCTTGATATAATGTATATACTAGTAAAGAGATGTTAGAAATAATATTCACCAGCCTATATACCTAAACACTAAAAAATGCGAACTGGTTTATGTTTTTTTGAGAGGTTTTCATGAATTTAACATATCTACTGATGTAGGACACTACAGAGGCTCAAACAAGCGGTGTAATATATTCATTAACACTCTAATATATGATATATACAGCCAGAATTGCTTCCCTGCTAAAGGGGCAAAAAAGCGAATATGTTTTAGTCCTGGGATGCACATATTGTAGTCAGCACTGTAGACTGCTGTACAAGCTCTCAGACAATGAAAAAAGCGGTCTATTGTATCATTTTATGTATGTACATGCCATTCTACTACTTATATACATGAGTGAGCAAGAGGAAAGCTCTGGTGCAGCAGTAGAGCCAGGGAGGTATGTGTGAATAGTGAGATTATTGGAATATCCTAATTTGGTGATTTTTCCGATGGTAGTGCTATTCTTGGAAGCCTGAGAAAAACATTTCCAGTAGCATCGAGATCACAAGAGAGATCCCGATCTTTAGAACCAGTGAGGCATCGTGCCTGTTAAGCTTCGTAAAGCTTCATGTTGGTGGCTCCGAGACAAACTTACAAAATGTACTGTGTATAGTTAGACACGGTTAAGTATCACCCTGCCATGAACAGGTGTCTCCTTACTATGGCGATGTCCGCTTTGTTGTTGGTCTTCAAAATGCAAGTCAGTATCAGATAACTTTTGGCGATACGACAGATTCATTGCTACTCCAGAACTAGGAGACATTCGTGTCAATGTGTTCACATTACGACTGACGAGAATCCGCAGAGTCTTATTTTAGTTCGGACAGCTTAAAAGAAGCGGAGCACGCTGAATTGAACGGACCAGAGAACACGCCTGATTATTTCGCGATGTTGACTCACCCTTCTAGAGTACCTCCTCATCGCCTAGATCTGAAACCAAATTGAATATTTGCGCCGTTCAACGAAACATCTCAGACTTCTCTACACACGCGAAAGCCGTTGCATCCCATGCATCAACTTCTCATACCGTTCGTCGTGGACAGTAAGCCGAAAGCAATTTCCGCTGTGCGCTGCGTATGCAACCACATTAAATGGTTGCCAAGGGCTCACGCTGGCGCACCAATCGAGGCACTCCTGCTTCTCGATTCAAAGCTTCTTTGATTGCTATATATATACCAGAACAATAATAACATAGCTCAAATCAGCATAGCGTTTTCTGCTCCGGCGACCCATAGCCGCAGATACTATAGGTCACAAGACCCTAGTACGCCAGGCCACAGACTCTACAGACGCTGTACAAGTCAGGAGGAGGTGCAGTCGGACCTACCATTAGTAGGTGGGCTGATCATGAGGAGTTCAGTAAGGGATGGGAGAGCGATAGTGACAAACACTTTTGAAACACTAACAAGACGACGAGCAGGTAAGATGAGGAAGGATGGAGACTTGAGAAGTTCAGAACAAAAACTCATCTACATACCAACTTGAAACCTGATGATAAGTAGCTGAGAAGAGGCGTAAACCAGCGTGCATCCTAACTACTATTGCGCGCTCAAGTTAGGATGTCTCAGCATGTATATGAGCCTAGCACCCAGATCGGAGCGCATGTCATTTGCAATGGACAAAGGGAATTTGAGGGACAGACGGATGGGCCGCGCGTGAAAATCTTGAAGCTCGAATGCGTCTACCAGTTAGACATGTGTAAAAAAATAAAACTCGATGACAGTCAATAAAAAGCAAGTCAGTGTCATCCATATGATAATGATATCTGCGACACACCTAGTAGTCGTCATCGAAGCATCAAAATTGAGAAACGATACCAAAAATAAAAACAACCATAACAGACCTCCGCACCAGGGAAATACAAAACATACAGTATAAATGAACAACAGCCTACTATTTTCAAATTCAAATCACATCTCCTCATCACGACGGTACTACAAGAGAGACCATCACTAGCAGTTGAGGTCCCAAACTCTCCTTCGTCGAGCATGGTGTTCGAAAAACAAACATTTATCATACCTGCTCGCCGCAGATTGGCCTCTGTTGGATGTTGCACATCTTCCAGGACTTCATTGACAGAGGCTGGACGATGACCTAACCACAAGAGTTGCAGCACGCCTATGTTTGGGATAGCAGCCTGACTGTCGTGCGATGCATGGAATACTCGGGTCATATGTAGCGCCAGTTCCAACACTGTCACAGATGCAGACGCCGCGAAAGCCAACTAGAGCCATTCTCGATAAATAGTCAACGCATAGATACCACCACGAACTCACAGGAAGAAGGTTAATCTACAATGCTCCATCAGTCATTGAAAATCAGCATCTGTGCAGTCCACTTACATTGAGGCGTAGAGCAATGAACTCCTCGTTAACATAGGCTGTTCCATTGCTAGGGTCAATTCCTCCATTGGCTACGCCCATTTGTCCCGCTAAGCATGTGACACGGAGTGAGCGAGAACAGGGCGATGCTCAAAAACTTCAAACGTGTCCCTTACCTAGCCACATGAGTTGTGCAGCAGCTCTCGCAACAGCAAATTCTAGTTCATCCGGTCTCAACGTGAAATTGGAGATCAGAGAAGCACCGTCTTGGGATTGTGTATATTCCTCAGTGAGATTCAAGCCTATCAACGGCATGATATACCTAGAAGTCAAGCTGTACGTGAGACATTTTAACAGTGCAGTTTAAATTTTTTGGCCTACTCGTAACAACAAAGAAGGATTTAGTATTTTAGGCCTTGGTCGAATGAAGATGGTATCCTTGACCAGTGGTCTCCATAAGTACCTAGCTAATCATCAACCAGTTGACACCACATCGCTCGGTAAGTCGGACCGGACGTCGATGACCTCAAGTCTGTCAATAGATCTTGATCTGGAGAGCATATAAATCCTATCTTTGTCGATCCAAATGTCCCTCAACAGTGCATGAGCACCGAACTTTCTGTGCGAAAATGCGACTTGAACGTAAGGCAGGGAAGTTGTCAAGCTCTCTCCACGTGTGCCAATTCTATCGACAATGATACATGTCGTGGACGGCTCTTTCACCACTCGTCCTAGACCCCGCGCGTTTGTCGCAGCTAGTGGGCTAAAGTCCAATAGTTGTAATATAAACTGCCGGTTGTGCGCGCCGACATGGAGTGTCTGCAAGACTCGGTTTCCGTTGATTGTGGAATGAGATGGTCGCTGAAGGATACGAGTATTTGAGGGGCCCCAATGTTCCCATGGTATTGGCATTGCTGCTGCCATTTCGTCGAGGTCGAAGAAAATCCTCGTGGAAATGATCAAGGCTAGATTATCTCGAGCACAACGCGTAATAAGGCATATGAGTCGATGTGTGGGGTCTGAGGTGCACATCGTCGCTTGGGCTTGCATATGTAGCTGTGAGTCATACCCAATATCATCTATCATAGGAAGGCACTGTAGTAGCATCGATGGGATGGGTATCAGAAAACACGCCAGAAATTCAGGTGTTTGGGACATGTTCTCAATTGAATAGAGATTCAAGTTATCGGCTATAACCAGCAATCGATTGTTCCCGAGGAAACAAAATTCAATTGGGCCGGGTCGGTCGAGTACTGCACCGCTGAGGATGCTCTAAATTCAGAATCAGCCATCAACTCTTTTAACTCTTTCAAACCAAAGCTCACACTGGATGTTGTCGAGTATTTCCAGTCCCAAATGTGCAGCTGCCACACCGAATTATTTTCATCGTTCAAGCGACGCGACAATGCGATATGCCTCCCAAAACCTTTGAGCCTTGTTTTTCTCGTTACAGAGCGCGAGTCGTCCGACAGAAACAGTGTCTCTCCAGCAGCCTCAGGGTGAACACCATCACCATCCAGGGCCCCAAGGTTAATATAGACTGTATTGTGATCAGCGGCATAAGCGACAGCGATTAGGTTTTGTGCTGGGTCCATAAACACATCAAATTTGCGTGAGTGTGGAACCGAACACAACGTTCCTGGGAGCCAGTTTCGCCGGATTGACTGCTGTGAGGGCTTTGGATGTACTGGAAAGATCATGGCCGTATCTCCTAGTCGGTCCCACGAGCAGAAATACCCACCAGCAACAATGATTTCTCGCAATAGCGCTGTCCTTGTTACGGGGACCATTTTAAGGAAAGGGCGGGTGTCAACCTTGAACCATGCGTGAGCTTCGTCTCTCAAACGCTGCAGACGCTTGGAAATAGGTATGCTATTGTCCGGGTTGGAGATAACGAGCAACTGTTGTCCATTTATTTCAACGATGTACTGAAGTTCGGAGGAGGACAAGTACGTCTGGCGAAGGGTCCTACATACCTGCAAGAGGATTATCAAAACGATTTAGAATCTAGAACAACGAGAACATGAAAGATGGCGACCCACAGATGTACACCGAAGAATATCTCGGTGAGGAAGGAAACTCAGAATGTAAGACAGGAGTTCTTCGGCAAGAGACAGGAATCCTGTTTGGGGCTTCATTTCGATATATGATACTACTAACACTTGAAGGTGAACGTTTGAACACTGAAATAAGCAACTACTAGTTGCGCATGTGCCAGCCTGCAATTACATAAGGTGCAACTCCACAACTTGCACTCAGACACTCGCCTACAGCTATTCGTACTGATCGAGATCTCTGAACAACAAGGTTCAAACGTTCACCCGAGTGCGTGTGTCAGGTAGCTCCCGGAGTACTTGTCCCGTTTGAACGTCCGATCCCACCTGCTGCTGAACTCGGACTCGTCCGGCGCTTGGCTTAGTGCACCGGTTTCTTCCGATCCCCAATTAGCTACCGTAGGCTACCGCGCTTTCTTCCGGAGATCAGTACTTGTGTTATTTTTGGCCAATGGGCACGACCGGGGGGCACACAGGATTCTCATCAGGGCGCCGATGGGATTTGCTATATTGACGGATCAGGGAGCCCTCAAACCGGAAGGCCATGATGTGCACAGAGACTCGGAGCGGTAGGAGACGATAGGCCCACACACCGTCTGTTTTCCGATTGTAGTAGGACCGCTCACACCCCGGACTCCCCCTATAAAGATCCTGGACTTTCGTCGACACAGGGACTCATTCTTCTACCCACTCTCCTAACTACACATCTTCCTTCAGTCCTCATAAACTCAGTCATGAAGGTAGTGATGAACCTTCTGTCTTCGATTACAAGATCTGATGCGCTTGCGCTTATAGATCTTAGCTATCCTGTACAAGGGCGGTAATGCTGCTACGAGCGAGCCCCGTCTCCTTGGTACTGTGGAGAACCAGGTTTGTCTCGTTGAGAATATCTTCGACAGACTTACTCATGCTTTCCATATAGCTTGGTATCCGCAAGTGGCTCGAGTCTCAAGGCCACGAGTACATCGTATGTGTCGAAGTTTCTGTCGGCATGCTTACGCAGTCACTTAATCTACTCATTTGTGTAGGTTTCGGACTCAAAAGAGGGCGCTGACAGCGACTTCCAGAAGCACATCGCTGATGTGCGTCCAAGCCCCACTACTGTACATATATCCGCGTGTACTTACTCTCTTTCTTAGGCTGAGATCTTGATCACGACTCCATTCCACCCTGGGTACCTCACTGCTGACTTGGTCGCGAAGGTATGATGATCGTTGAGCTATCGTCGATATGAACGGTTCATTCATACTTCTGATAGGCCAAGAAGCTTAAGCTCTGTGTCACCGCTGGTGTTGGCTCTGACCACATTGACCTCAACGCCGCTGTCAAAAATGGTATTCAGGTCCTAGAGGTCTCAGGATCCAATGTCGTCTCCGTCGCCGAGCATGTCGTGATGTCTATCCTCCTTCTCGTCAGGAACTTTGTTCCAGCACACGAGGTATGATGACCCACTGGCGCGCGTTTCCCTCTGTTAATTGCTCGCCATTCTCAGATGATCGAGCGCGGAGACTGGATGGTCTCTGACATTGCTCGAAATGCCTTCGATCTTGAGGGCAAAGTCGTTGGCACCATTGGTGCTGGTCGTATCGGCTACCGTGTCCTCCAGCGTCTGATGCCCTTCGACTGCAAGGAGCTCCTCTACTTCGACTACGCTCCCTTGCCTGAAGGTTTGTACCACACTATCTTCGGTTTTGTACAGCTTTATTCATGTAATTACAGCTGCTGCTAAGGCCGTCAACGCTCGTCGCGTCGAGGACCTCAAGGACTTTGTCTCGCAGTGCGACGTCATCACCGTCAACTGCCCTCTGCACGAGGGTACACTCGGCCTCGTCAACGCTGATCTTCTCAAACACTTCAAGAAAGGTGCATGGCTCGTCAACACCGCTCGCGGTGCCATCTGCGACAAGGACGCCGTAGCTGCTGCCCTTGCAAGTGGTCACCTGAACGGTTCGTGACCCCCACCACCTGATATCTGCACATTGAGCTTACATGGCAACAGGTTATGCTGGTGATGTTTGGAACGTCCAGCCCGCACCCAAAGACCACGTCTTGCGCACGGCTAAGAACACCCTTGGCGGCGGTAACGGCATGGTACCCCATTACTCTGGCACCACCCTCGATGCTCAGGCTCGTTATGCAAGTGGCACCAAGAGCATCATTGAGAACTACCTCTCTGGCAAGGCCCAGGAGCCTCAAAACATCATCGTCGGTATTGGCAAGTTCGAGACCAAGGCTTGTGAGTACCCGTTTAGACATGTTGCTTGTCGGTCTTGTCTGACATATTCTTGTAGACGGTCAGCGTTGAACGTTGAGCTGCGGATGTGCCTGCCAAGACCCTTGTTAATATCATCATGTATACAAAATTTACTTGCACCTGTATGTCGATGGGAAGAAGGATGTACATTACTGACAGTAGGAAATACCGAAATATATGAATTTCACATTTGCACGAGTTCACTGAGTATCTAGCGAGACTGGGTGGTACACTGGGATGTAAATATACAACTCTAGTTCGCATACTTTCGGGCGAGAAGGATTGATCTTGGATTGATCGATTCAGAGATCATGCAAGTTGATAGAACACAACGAGACTGGCCACGCAAACATTGCTGACATGCCAGGCGTATTGTAGTAGACAATAGTGGGTGTACTGTGCCTACCACACTGCGTCTAATTAAGGCACACTGACTTTTAGAATTTGGGATCGAAATCAGCGTATGGTCACTTACAGTAATCAGGCTGGAGACTTGAGACGGTGAGCATGAGTTCCAGTTCAAGTAGAGATCCACGACCTAAAAGCGATCCAAATTTCATCTTACGCACTCCTTGTCTAAGCACGTTGTTCTTGTTCGACCTTGACTTGCAATTGGTCGAGTAGATCCTGGACAAAGATACATAAGCAACAAAATTAAAGATAAGCCTTCCTTCAAAAATTATGACAAGAGTGGGATTTGAACCCACGCCCTCTTACGAGGATGAGAAACCTGCTATCAGGCAAGCTTTCGCTTGAGTCACACGCCATAGACCGCTCGGCCATCTTGCCATGGTTCACTAGTCCGCGACTTGCCAGCCATACTGGTCCAAGACGTTGCCTATAATCTCGTTGGAAGACAGTTAACGCGCGACCGAATTATATTCAGTCCATTTTTCTCAACTGTGTAGGGGAAGAAGGGGGACAACCCAAGCTGGCGCGTGACAGGCTTGCAAAACACGAGTAGTTAGACAAAGTCGACACTTATAAACGAGTGAACGTCTTTGACACATGTTTGGGCAGTACTCACATTCGTCAAATTGCTTGAGCTTTATCATTGCATCCACGAAGAACACTACGGTCGGCGTGCACGTAAGGAGCTGACATTCACCGTGAAGTGGGCTGCTTGTAGCACTGGAAAGTTGCACGAGTTACAATATTAACCGATATCATCCATCGTTGGGATTGTCATCGGAGACGTAGGTCCCTCAGGCCTCAGGCTTGATAGAATGCCTGACCGGCACAAACGCGTAACCAGGAAGTCCAGACCTTGTTGTGAGGGGAGACGCCGAAGGGCAAGATTAATCGGAGGTGGTGCATCAATTGCCATCACGTGGACAGACAGATATGGCCAGACTTTCGAACGGTATGATCAGGTATGACGGTAGAGGGGCTATGTGTATTCGGCCACGTCTATCTGAATAAATAGCTGCATTGTAGCATACACACGGCTCTATAACTCGAGGAGGATGCGAAAGAGTACAGTGAACTGAATGATTACGGAGAAATATAATGTCAGGAGCAACGGAAGGGAAGCAAAAGACTGCAGACGTCAGTCAAGACAACGGCGTGAAAGAAGAAGCAAACATACATGATGCACTAATCGTCGCTGACGTCACCGGTATTCTCGGCGTCACTTGATGGTGGTGGGGTTTGCTTCTTCTTGCGGCTGGCTTTAGGTGCACCAGCCGCAGCCTTTGGCTTTCTAGGCTTTGGCTCCTTGCCACGATTTGGGTTCTCAGGTGCTTCCCGCCACATTGCTGCGATCTTGGAGATGTATCAGACATGAAATGGACGCATATATGCGCATATACGCACCTCGGACATGGCTTCTTTGATGGGTGCGCCGGGATGTGCCTCCTTCCACTCTTTCATATGAGCTTGTACGAAGAGGTTGTATGCACTTGGTGCGCGCTTTGGTTTGTCCTCCTTGTCTGTGACAAAGTGAGTACGATGAAGAAAAAATATAAAGGGACGACGAACCAGCCTTGGAGGTCTTGGTGTTAGCGCGTTTTGTTGCAGCCTTTGTGGTTGATTCTTTACGACGATGAGTGGATGTTTAAACTAAAAGACGCGTTGAACTGACCTGTTGCTGATTTTGCCATGATGGTTAGGATGAGGGGTGAATTTTGTTGATTGATTTGAGGGTTATCGATCTTTAAACGTAGTCGCGTCGGGGTTTAAACGCGACGTGTTATTATCACGTGGTGGGGTGGTCAGTGCACCTCGGGGAATAGCCGAAACCTATTTGAGGAGAATGTGACCGCATCAAAAAATCTCAACTCTCTTTGTCTCTCTAGCGCTCGTCACCTAAATTAGTCCTTGATCATTACCGGCCAGACCATGTCTCCGTCCGCTCTTTCATCTGCCCTCCTTGCTGTTGCGGCTATTACCTTTGTCCACGCTCAGCCTGACCCTGCTGACCCCACTCCTCTCGTTGATAAGCACTATGCCTACCCATCTGGTATCGTGAGTGTGCTTGTAGCATGCAGCGGCGCGCAATAGAATGGTACTCATCGTATATTAGCCTTACCAAGTCGACTATAATACCGCTGCTCTTCGCGGTCCTCAAACTGGTTACAATATTTGCAACTCCACAACTGAGAACCAGAATTCCTTGTGTCAAACTTCGTTCGTGAACCACATAGACGGTCAGTTTCGCCGTCTTTTAATTTATTCACGGTTTCTGAAATCATATAGACTTCTGCCTCTGGGCTCCCCCACAGCCCAACTCCACCATCGGTGACACCGAAGGTCAGGAAGTCGCCTGGTGCACAAAGCCAGGACACGGTACTCGTCTCATCCCCGCCGGTGCTCTCCAAGGCGTACAGCTCATCAAGACCCCCAACTACATCCAAATTGCTGGTTTCATTGACCAAACCCAGGTCAACATCGCTGCTAATGATTACGGAGGCGAGTTGGACCCTCACGGTGCTGATCTGGTGAGCTAGAAATTACTGTGTGACACCTCCCACGGGTGAAGTCTCAACGTGACTTGCAGCGCGGTAACCCTCTTGGCGGTCTCATGTACTCTAACGCGTTCCCCAGCAACGGTGGTAACAACGCTTCTTACCAACAGGTTATTGACTGGACAAAGTGCGTTTTTCCCAGCCTCTTGTCCACGTGTCTCATTTCCCTTTTAGCTTCATGGGTGGCGACGGTTTCTGTATGAAAATCTGCGATCCCGCCGGCCAGAACCAACAGGCCCTCTGCCAAAATATCTATGACCGTCTTGGGTGCGCATACAACGCACCCAACAACGCACAGAAGGGTGTTTTCGAGGTCTGCGATGGTGACGACATGTCCCCCGTCGGTGTCTACACTACCAACGGCGCTACCTCGACCTATTACCAACCCGCCGAATCTCTTGGTCCGATCACCACCGTACCTTACACCGCCACACCTGCTCCGAGCTCGAACTGCGTGACGTACACAAGCACGTCACTGTACACGGGTCTGCCGACGCCATCAGGCGCGGCCGCGAGTTCAGGTGCAAGTGGAGCAAAGTCAACAGCGAGCGGCACCAATTCCGCCGCATCACCGGCTAAAACTGGTGGTGCTGCCACCATGGGTGTATCGCTTGGCGCTGGACTTGTTGGTGTGGTGTTCGCGATGGCGTTCTTGTCGTAAGGCAGTGCGGGTATCACTGTTGACGGGGAGAGAGGTTGTTGCATTCGCATACCGCATTTCTCTGGGCGGTCATTTTATTTCATCGCACTTTATAATACCCCACTGCATGAATTTTGGTTGACATAGACACGCGGATACAGACGGACTGACATTGGTTGCTTATCCGTTCATTGCATCGAGATTGGAATAATGCACGTTTTAATGTCATTGATCTGCGTAGACATGAAGTCTGCTACAATTAGGCTTCATTGATTATGTGGGTTGGCAAGCCAAATGTGTCTGTCATCCCGATATGAGTGACCAATTTATCATTTGGGAAATCATAGGTAGGTTAGAATTTCAATTTCAAATTTTCAGTTCGTCGCGACCCACGTGATCATCTGTTCATCTCAAAGCCAAATAAATCCACTTTCGACTCAGTCATGAGAGAGGAGTCCATATTCACCCGGTACTGGTATAGACTTATACAGTGGACCACGAAAATTCGGGCGAAATGAAGCCCAACACGAGAGGGTTTCCTCTCTGGCTGAGGAACTCCACTTCTACATTCTGCGCTTCCTTCCCTAGTAGCGGGATATTCTATCTGTGAGCCGCAACCCAGTTTCTATATATGTTGATGTTAACGTGGAATTCTATCCTGACAATCCTCGTCACTCGTGCAGGTATGTAGGGCCCTTCGCCAGACATACATGTCCTCGAGCTTCAGTCTCATAGCCGATGGACATATTTACCTTAGATGACACGGTTACGATCATCACAATACTCCAAAAGCCCTCACAACAACCAATCAAGTGTAACTGGCTTCCAGGAACATTGTGTACAGTTCCCAACTCAACCAAGCTCTGTGCGTTCATGGACACAGCACAAAACCTGATCGTCGTCGTCTATGTTGATCACGAGACTCTTCCTCAACCTTAGAGCTCTGGATGATGATAGTTTTCACCCCCAAGCTGTTGGACCGACGTTGTTCCTGTAGGAGCTTCCCGGATACGAGGACCACATGGATTCAGGGGTGTGCAGCTCAAAGCTATGGGGAGGTATATCGCTTTGCAGCGTACTTCGTCAAAGCGCAAGGCGTGGCAGCTGCAGATTTGGAACTGGTTAGAGCCTTGTTCAGAAACCGTCGGCAGATTGAAGAGTAAAACTTTCCTATGGCGAGCATATACAAAATTCACCATTATCATTTTGGGTATGAGAGGATGGCAGGTACTTCTCATTCGTCACAGTGTTGCTTGCTCTGGAGGATTTACTCGACATTTGATATGGCCTTCCCGAGTTATTCAAGAATATGGGGTGAAAACAATACGTCCGATAAGGCTCCTCACACTACTATTATCGGACGATGCATGATTGTTGTCCACAGCGAAGGGTATCGAGACAAAGGCAGGCGTTGATAGTGTTCGTTGTCATGCATTTTCAAGCAGGTAAAGCGAATAGCATCAGCAGCGCACATCGTATGTAGGTCCAGGGTGAGTGAGATGTGCCAGCCAGGAGACCCTTCGATGTGAGTGTGCAATGAAGGACGACAGTCAAATTCAAAAACCAACCGCAAAATCCTGGAATCCAAAGCATACACAAACCCATTGGATGGAAGACAGTTGTGTCTTTCAAGAGATCTTGATCGTTCGCTGAATTGTGTTACCGTTATCCAATGGTGGGTGCAGAGTCCAGACCAACTTGGAAGCGAAGGAGAGGCGCCAGCTGGGAAATGGACAAGGTTATATTGACGAGGACACTCCAGCACAGACCCAACATATGCGGTAGCAAAAGAACTTATGCTGATGGGATCTGGAGAAACCGGGTTTCACTCACACTATGTGCCATACAACGGACGTCCGAGTTCAACAACAATATTTAGTAGACTTGAGAGATGGGCAGGTAGGCCTGGGACGGTCCGAGCAGTCAGCCTCATTCAAACGGGACATTCATTACCTGAAACACACACTCGGGTGAACCTTGTTGTTCGGAGATCAGTACGAATAGCTTGAGACGAGCGTCTGAGTGGTTGTGGAGTTGCACCGTTAGGGACGATATTATGTAATTGTAGGCTAGGACACTTCAAGTTGGCACACGCGCCTTCAAACTTCAAGTGTTACTACTACTAGTACAACGAGATGAAGCGATTCCTGTCTCTTGCTGAAGAACTCCTGTCTTACATTCTGAGTTTCCTTCCTTACCGAGATATTCTTCGGTGTACATCTGTGGGTCGCCACTGTCATTCATGTTATCGTTGTTCTATAATCTAGATAGACTGATGTTCTGACGATCCTCTTGCAGGTATGTAGGACCCTTCGCCAGACGTACTTGTCCTCCTCCGAACTTCAGTATATCGTTGAAATAGGTGGACAACGGTTGATCTCAGGCTCCAACACGGATCATAGCATACCTATTTCTAAGCGTCTGCAGCTTTTGAGAGACAAAGCTCACGCATGGTTCAAGGTTGACACCCACCCTTTAAAAATGGTCCCCATAACAAGGTCCCGGGGATCTCGAGACAAGATTGTTGCTGGTGGGCATTTCTGCTTCTGGAATGCACCAAGAGATACGGCCATGATCTTTCCGGTACTTTCAAAGCCCTCGCAACAGTCAATCCGGCGAAACTGGCTCCCAGGAACGTTGTGTTCGGCTCCACACTCACACAACCTTGATGTGTTTATGGACCCAGCACAAAACCTAATCGCTGTCGCCTATGCCGTGGATCACAAGACAGTCTATATTAACCTTGGAGCCCTAGATGGTGATGGTGTTCACCCTCAGGCTGCTGGAGAGAAACTATTTCTGTCGGACGACTCGGAAAACTCCTTTGGTATGACATTCGTAAGGCTCAAAGGTTTTGGGAGGCATATCGCTTTGTCGCATCGCTTGAACAATGAAAATCGGACTTCATTGGACAAGGTGTGGCAGCTGCAGATTTGGGACTGGAAGTACTCGACAACATCCAGTGTGAGCTTTAGTTTTAAAATAGTTGAAAGACTTGACGGTTGATTCTGAATTTAGAGCATCATCAGCGATGCAATACCCAACGGATCCGTCGACCCAGTTGATTTTTGTTTCCTCGGGAACAATCGATTGCTGGTCATAACCGATAACTTGAATCTCTATTCAATTGAGGACATGTCCCAGCCGCCGGAATTGCTGGCGTGCTTCCTGATGCCCATCCCATTGAAGTTATGGTGCCTTCCTCTGATAGACGATATTGGGTATGGCTCACAGCTGCATATGCAAGCCCAAGCGACGATGTGCACCTCAGACCCTACACATCGACTCATATGCCTTACTGTGGCATTTAGTACTCAAATCTTCATCATTTCCACGAGGATTTTCTTCGACCTTAATGAAACGGCAGCAGCAATTCCAATACCATGGCAACATTGGGGCCCCTCAAATACTCGTATCTTTCGGTACCCATTTCATCTCAAAATTCACATCAACGGAAACCGAGTCTTGCACACACTCCCTGTCGACATGCGCGACTCGACATTTATATTCCAACTATTGGACTTTAGCCCGCTAGCTGTGACAAACAGGCGGGGTCTAGGACGAGTGGTGAAAGAGCCGTCCACGGCATACATAACTGCCGATACATTCGACAAATTTGAAGAGAGCTTGACAACATCCCTGCCTTACGTCCAAGTCGTATTTTCGAACAGAAAGTTCGATTTTTCACAGTTGAGGATTTTGTGGATCGACAAGGATAGGATTTATATGCTCTGCAGATCACCGAGCTCTATTGACAGACTTGAGGTCATCGACGTCCAGTCTGACTTACAGAGCGGTGTGGTATCAACTAGTTGATGATTAGCTAAGTACTTATGGAGATCATTGGTGGAGGATACCATCTTCATTCGACCAAGGCCTAAAAATCTGACTATGGGAGACTATGTTTCAAGCATGTGTTGCCATAGAGTATAACTCTCGAGGCCAATAATCCCACATACTTCCAGACTACCACTTATAATTAATGTTTCCCTGTCGATGCCAAATTTCGCCATCTGGTCGTGGAACTATTTTTTGGTCCGACTTTTCACTCAAGCGAATACAGACGGTCGTCGTGCAATAACAGAATCCTCTGCTCACAATATTCATCAGAACTCAGTGAATCACCGTACGTACTAACCGTCGAGATCTCCGCTGATTTGACTAGTAGCATATATTGGGCAGGACGTTCTTCCGACAGAGATTGCCAGTCCAAATGCCTCAGAACCGCGACTTCGCCGGAGTATGCTTGCAGGTCTCGTAATTTGTATACTTTGTACACCCTCCAGTATCAATGCCAGACGGCAATGAACGAGACCGGAGACATCTAGAATTTATTTTCCCTCGAAAGCACTGGGTGAATTGTGTTTGTCAGATATCATGCTCTTCCGCACACCGTGTAGGACGCTTTCAAGTGATCCGACCTGCAGGCAGCGTAACACCAGTGACAGTGGCATTACATTACTGATGCGTCGGGCCTGAAAACCCTTGCTTGGGCCTGGTAGAAAAATACTCAAGCCAAGCTGCCAACTTCCAGGGCCATGATGCCACTGAAATCGCATCCCCAAAACGACCTCTCAGCTCGTGCCAAAGCATTGGTAACTGACTCTGTATCAATGGAAATGATGTTCGGGCGGGAGAGATAGATAGCATTGCAAGACCATTCAATTATGATACAACGTTGCATCATCGGTAAGGCAATTAAGAGCTGTCAACACAAGATGCGTAGACTCCAGAAGATCTGAGCCTGATCATGGTCGTCCTGTTAATGAAGGGAACCCAGAAGACTTGACGGGCGTGATCGTCGTTCCTGCAGGAAGTGCAAGAGAGTCGCCTATTCCATCTTCGATGAGTTGATGGTATCGGGATGATCACGGCCGAGTTTTCATCAGCTTTCCACGAACGGAGATCCTCATCGGCAACAAATGTATGCGCAGAGGACAATTCCTCCGATAAAGAAACCTGTTCGAAAGAATGGAAGTTGAGCTTGAACCACGCGTGGGCTTTATTCCTCGAAAGTTGTAGGCACTTGGAAATAGAAGTGTGATCAACCACGTTGGGGACAGGAAGTAATTGCCAGCCGGCCGCTGAGTTTGATGATGTACTGAAGCTCGGAGGAAGATATGTACGTCTGGCGAAGAACTGCAAGATCGTCAGTACTATGAAAGCCCGTTAGAACAACGATAACAAAATCATAACCCACGGATGTACCACGTAGAATATCTTGGCAAGAGTCCCTTGATTTGTACCTCCGCCTGCGTGAGGGTATCACCGCCAAAGTATCTTTGACCTGTTTATGGCTGGAAGCTCCACGACCTCAAGGCCTCAGGTGCGATCAATCGCCGTGTCATTACGCGATGATGCTATGTAGCTTGACCTAAAGGATGTTTGCCACTCGATTCATCTGCTTCAGCTGGAGATAATGATAGAGTTCATTCAGGACCTACGATGATCATCATTACTATGATAACTATAGTTTCAAAGATTAAGCCAGCACAGGTTAGCACACCGCACCAAAGTTTAGTTATTTTTACTCACGAAGTAGAATTTCTAATTCAAGTCATTACGTATGCACTCAATGCGGCCGTTCTTATAAGTGCCACAGTAATTTACAGTCAGCATCAGTGCTGCATCACCGTTAGCATTTCTAAGCTGCGCTGAAATTCTGACCTAGAAGCCCTTGCAGAACTTTCAATGACACTAGGCGCCAAGCGCTCTTTAGGCATCTGTCGAGCACCTCATCGAGGTGCCGTTCTTGTAGCAGATGGGTCTTGAATCACCAGGCGCAACGTCTTTCTGCCAAAGGCCAGTTTTCTACCTCCGTCAAAGCGTGACGTTCAGAGACATTTGAATCGTTTAATTGTTTTACCCACAGATCAGGTACGAGTTCACAACCTCCGTCACGATAGCCATCAGAATGCATCGCTACCGTAAACTTCCGTGATCATCTTTGCGCAACCCCAAATGATCGTTGATGCCGCATCAGATGCATGATGTATTATGCTTTGTAAGGGGCTATAACAGGTTATATAGCACGTACGTTCGTAAGCTCTTTCTAAACCTTCAGCATAAGCGACGGGGTTTGATAATTTTGGCTGTGCACGAAGTGTTTCCCTGCAGGGCAAACCTTATCGAATCGTCCAATGAGAGGGATGGATCAGCTAAGCTCCTGACATTGAACCGTACTAAGTACGGGCGTCTAAAGCTATGGCACGCATAAGCGTAATATAAAGGTACTGGTGTCCCTATGAAGTAATGCCAAGTAACATCCCCCCGCTCGTGTTCCTCTGCTCACCGTAAGTCTCGAAAATCGTGCAGATTTCTCATCCTCATTTGACGATTTCAACAGGATTAGCCAAGATGCGACTCTGGCCCGGGCAGCTCCCAGTCACGCAAAACGAAGCCGTGACCATCACTTGCTACGATGACCTGGGTAATCCAAAAACGCACGGTTTAGAGCAGCGATATGTCAGCCCTACTACTGGGATATGTCGAAAGCTCGTCGTGCAAGCCGTCTCTCCCTTCGGTAAATCCGAAGTCCCCATCAGCAACCACACCAATCAAGCAAGCAAAATCGCCATATGGCTGCTAGCCAATTCCCCCATACGAGGGTGGATCATTCTTAAATGGATAGGCATATGGTTGTTGTTTACGTTGAAGCTCCTCTGGTCAGTCATCTGGCTGCTAGCACAGCTTTTCGCCCCCATCGACTTGGCGGATGACACCGGGGAGGACACGGACCTGTATAACACTGGATACTACAAACCATATGTCCGCGGGTTCCAGGGTCAGCTATGGGCAGCTCGTTCGCCTATGGAGCATTCTTCGCGCATTATCGAAGAGGGCGAGATGGATATCCCTACACATACCCTTTATCCTCGAGTTCTTATTATCCGCGACCCGATCTGTAATGAGTGGGCCTCATGTGCAGATCGCGATACCATCATCCATACAAAATTCATCGCCATCTCTTATCGCGCCGTTGATGCCTTCACTCGAGGCCCAGATCAGGAGGTAGAAAAAGATCAGTTCATAGAGGAAGTTCGTGCAGCGGTGCTCGAACAAAAATACGATGCGTATTGGCTCGACTTGGAGTGTGTAGGAGAGACGCCGTCAGAGAAGAATCGGGATTTGTACTGCATGGCGGACGTCTACCGTGGAGCAGCTGTAACTTTGATCATGCTCGGTAAATCTGCGTCTGGGGAGAAGGAGTGTTGGAAAGGCTGGGGCGAACGGGTATGGACTATGCCCGAAGCCCTCCTGAGCTCTAGCCTTTGTTACAAGTTCCGAGATCGGGAAGCAGTCACACCATTGTCGTTGTTTGAGCTGGCCAACCTGGCCTATACAAACTACGACATCGAACAAGCTATCGTCAACGCGTACAGCGGGAAGGATCCACTTGAGAGGTTGGAGCGCTTGACGCTGTTGAAATCAGCTATATGGCGGCGCGGTACGGCAGCTCTAGCACCAGGTATTACTCCTCCTCCGCCAAAGCTGGATATGATAGATGACTCCGAGAAGTCTGTCACCGTCCTGAGTGGGGCGTACAAGGCCGAGCGTGTGTATGCGCTGATGGGCTTTTTTGAGCATCGGATTCAGCCAAACCGCTCGGAGGACGATTTGCGCGCTCTTGTGAGGCTTTCGATGGCCAACGACAATGACCGTATCGCTGAGCGCATGGTATCCATGCTGCCCTCGACCATCACCAAGACAGCGTGTTGGTACTCTGACGATGATATCTACCGTGCCAACCTTTGGGATATTCTACCGGAGATCCAGGTCGCTGGTGTTACGGACAATGGAGCTCTTGTAATTGACGGGTGTCGGTCGGCAGCCATCAGATGGAAAGATTTCCCGGAGGTTGCGTTTGTGACCACAGATTCATTGAGGAGAACCATCATCGGCTTCATTCCGTACCTCTCGTGGCCAACTCTTATCATCGGGCTAGCTATTCTTATGATCAACCGGGTAGGAGGCATCGCGCTCACCATAATCGGATTGGTGCTCCTCATTGTTTCCCCTCGGCTGTTCGTTTTCAGTCAATCTGGGCGTATCGTCAGCGCACAACCATGGCTCATCGGAGTGAAAGGGGTCGTGAGCATCAAAGAGGTAGAGAGCCACTTGTACGGTGGCGCCGCCAGAGGACACTTCCCAAGAATGTATTTCACGCCGAGCGGATCACAGTTCTCGATTCCGGAACGAGGCTTAGACCGGGGAGGTTCGTTCAGACAATACGACTATGCCAAACTAGCGGATAGTGGACCCGATGCGGGACACATCTATACGCTCATCGACACGTGCTCGTCGACGATGTACTATTTCCGTGCGCAACGACCGCCGACTGTGTGTATATTCGCCGGACGAGAGGGAGGGCTTGGGCGGTTTGTGTTGTGTTCGGAGAAATGTGATATCAATGAGCTGCATAAGGAGAGCGTGCTGAGGATGCCGACGGAGATCAGTGAAAAAATGGAGTTGTGTGGATGGGTCGCGCTTGGATGAGGTTGTTTTGGAACCTTTCACTGTCCTTTATTTCGGACTTCACTGACGCTGTTTAGTGTTTTGCTAGAACTTTCCACTTTCCTTTATTAATTTATTATGTACTCTACCGACGCTATTTAGTGTTATAGCAACATAGTATTGAGGATTCACTGCAGAACGTTTCTTGTTAATATTCTCGCGGGTCTGAGCGCGGCTAAGACTCGACAAACGCATGATACTCTCAAGCCGAGTTAGGGGCGCAGCCTAGCCCAATTGGAAATTTACACCTTCCAACTTTTCGATAACCTCCCACTCACTCATCGGGACGAAACGTTGACCGCCTTGTCAAGAGAATGGACGACGAAATAAAGCCTAAATCAGCACTCTCGTTTCTTGTGGACGAACTTTGGATTTACGTTCTAGGTTTCCTTTCTTGCACAGATATTCTTCGTTGCACATCCGTAGGCTGTCGCCGTTGTCCTAGACGGAATCCTATGCTGAGTCACTAGTTCTCGCAGGTATGTAAGGCCCTTCGACAAACATACATGTCCTCTTCAGAGCTCCAGTACATCGTCGAACTCGGCGGTCAATGCTTGCTCCCCACATCCAACACGGACGACCACACCCCTATCTATAAGCGCTTACAACGCTTGAGGGATAAAGCCCACGCATGGCTCAAGTTTGATGCCTATGCTTTCCAAACAGTTATCCCATCAATCTCGTTTTCTGGCATACAAAAATACATCACCGGTGAACATTTCTACATGTGGAACTACCATGACAACTTGGTCGCCATCAGCCCAATACCATCCAACTTGCTCTCACAACGAACAATCGAACACCACTGGTCACCCAGAACGTTATGTCCATTTCCTGGGGCGGAGAGGCGGATTGTATTGATGGACCCGGCACAAAATCTGTTCGCCATCGCGTATACTTTTCACGGGATGACCTACATTTACCTAGCAACTCTGGATGATGGTTGCGTCCACCCTCACGCTGCCGGACCAGCGCTAGTTCTGGATACTCCTGTATATGAGTGGGAAACGAAGTTCCAGTGTTATGGGAGGCATATCGCTTTGTGGCGTGAATTTTACACTCATGAAGTTGGCGTTTTATGGCCTTCTGACTGTGTGTGGCAGCTGCAAATTTGGGACTGGCAGCACTCGACAACATTAAGCGTGAGTCTTCATGCTTGAATCAGAAATTGACGAAGAATCGACAGTTGATTTTGAATTTAGAGTGTCCTCAACATACAAACCACATTGTTCACCCCCACTAGTTTTTGTTTTCTCGGAAACGACAGGTTGCTCGTTGTCGCCGATAATTTGAAGCTGTATTCGATCAAGGATATGTCCGAGACGCCACGATTGCTGGCATGTTTCCTGTTGCCTTTCTCATTGGTGGACACAGAACACTACCATCCGACTATGCATGGCTCACAGCTGCGGACGCAAGCTCAGTCGATGTACACCTCAGACCCTGAACATAGACTGCTATGCCTTACCTCATGGATTGATAAACGAACGATCTGCCTCATCTCCACGAAGATTTTCTTTGACATCGACGAAGTGACGGCAATAACGCCGATACCATGGAATCATTGGGGCCCTGGACATATTCGTGTTGTTGAGCAGAAAGCGGCACACGTGTCAATTACTCATGTCAGTGGGAATCGAGTTTTGTTGGCGGACAAGATGATGTCAGAGAGACACGAATACTATAAGTTGCGTATGATGGACTTTAGCCCGCTGGCTGTGACGAATAGGCGGGGTCTAGGACGAGTAGTGAAAGAGCGATCTACTGTGACGGTAGCGGTCCAACGTGGTCCCAATTCCGAGTGGGACGATGAATCAAAGTACTACTACTCGACGGTTGAAACGGCTCTGCCTTACGTTGAGGTACTAGTATCGGATAGGAAGATTAGTGGGCTGTTGCACGATGTTTGGATGGATGGTGATAGGATCTATTTGCTAGATCGAGTCGTAGGAGGAACGTTTAAACCTAAGCTTGAGGTTATTAACATTTATTAGAATACCGGTAGGGCTATGTCGAGCGCGCGTTAGCATTGCCATTGCTATTGATATTGGTGACAACCATTAGCAGAAAGTGATAAGCAACCGGTGATTGATGGAAGAGAGCACGAGCACGAGCCGAAACCCACGATCATTTATATTGACTAGCGGCATGACGTTCATATGGCACCTGATTATCACGCTTAACTTGAAGCTGCTTAAACCCTTTGGGCCTAGCAGCTGGCTTCTCGCGTTATTTCTTTCATCTCCATTTATTCCAATTTTCTGACTGTGACTAACTTGTCGCTTATTTCGACTTGGAACACATTGGAAGCATCCACCAGCGCTGTTTAGCGTGGCTGTCCAACAGCGCTGGCACCTAGGAGAAGAGTTTCTCGTAACTGCCAGCTTCTAGCTGTGCCACAGGAGGTCCTCGGGCCTCTATATTAACCCTGAACTGCTCCGAGTTTCAAGTTCAGGTCGTCCTTTTCAGCTAGTCCGACGTCGTCGTTGGGCTCAATACTCATACCACTGTCTCAATATGGCACCGGCCGTGCCCAAGAAAGCCCAAAAACTTGGGCGTGCCCTCAAATCCGCAGCCCGCTTTCCGGGCCGTGGTAGCGGTCGAAACCACTACTCTCCCTCCCCAGGCGAGCAACCAGTCGTCTTCCTTCGTGTTCAAATCATTGGTTGTCTGAGCCTTGCTAGGGCTCGAAATGGCGCACAAGCAAAGGAGGGCGACCTCAATCCGTGAGTCCGAATCTGCTACTCCGAGTCCTATCAACGACCCTGACTTGTCTTATCATGTGATTATAGTTTGGTCGTTGTCTCCCTCCTCAACAATCGACACCATACTCCTGTCCTCAAACGCACTCCTAACCCGGTCTATGCTGCTAAAGACGCAACCTTCGACTTTCCTATCTATCTATCTCTTGCTGATAGGCTAGGGTCCGTCGAACTAGTCGTCTGGGACAAGGATACCTTGAAGTTGAAGAAGGAATACGTCGGAGAAGTCGCACTGACTCTCGAGTCCTGGTTTCGGGATGGTGATGGCGACGGCAACAATAGTCTAGGTTTCGCAGCTGAAACTAATCGGGTGGGTTATCCTTTGTGTTCTCGCAGGCTTCGTATTAATAAAAGTTTGTAGCCACACTCTGTAAATCTAGTTTCGACACGTGCGAACACGCACGCATCTGGAATGGCAGTAGTCAAACTCGGTTTCGTTGCACCCCCTGGTGCACAGTCCCCAATGGCTTTTGAGCGAGTCTTTGCTGAACTCGTAAAGCGATCCCGCCCGAGTCTCGTTTCTGCGCCTCCAGTACGTCTCACGCGTTTCTTTTTCCTTTTCCGACTAACTCGATCGTCTCCCATAGACAGAAGGTATCGGCACTCTACCATCTCATTTGACAGGCCCAGCATATGAAGATGATGGTGGAATCAGTTCTGATGAAGAAGACCAAGATGATGACGATGTTGTAGAGGAAGGAGAAGAAGAAGACGAAGGCCTCGTCCTCCACCTCTCCAATCTTTACCTCTCTCCATCTCTCCTACCAGATCAGACTCAGGAGCACCAAGAACCCGAGATAGCATGTCCCATACCGGTACCCTACGATCTACCGCGCCTTCATCTTCCTTCCCAGATACTCTCCCCTGTCCAGTCCGAGGAAAAGGAGCCTGAGACCGCGCATCCATTACCTCCTGTTCCGACCACTACGCCTATCATAACTGCGCCTGCTATGTCCAGCACCACCCCTTCTTCGAAAAGCAGACTCCCAAAACTTTTCCCTCGCCGTCCCAATCTTCTCACTTCCCCATCCTACGACACGCCTCCCTCGGGTCGCTTACATCGACGGTCTATGAGTGCGGGTGCTATTACTCCTCTCCCCTCTCCCGTATCTCCAGGTCCTTCTAGTGCCGTCTATCCCACACAGAAAAAGATATTCCGAAAATCTTGGGCAAGCAAAAAGGTAGACTACAACTTTACTGCCTCAAACTCGAACGACATAGTCGGGATCGTGATGCTTGAGATACAAGGCGCGGCTGATTTGCCTAAGCTGAAGAACAGTGCGTTTGAACTCATTGTCGTTTACTTCCAGCGTTGACTCATTTTTGCAGTGACCCGCACCGGCTTTGACATGGACCCCTTCGTAGTGATCTCTTTCTCCAAAAAGATCTTTCGTACACGTATCATCCGGCACTCCCTCAACCCCACCTGGGATGAGAAACTCCTATTCCACGTACGTCGATATGAGACGGCATTCAAGGTCCAAATGACAGTCCTGGACTGGGATAAACTATCGAGTAACGACCATGTGGGCGATGCATGGTTGGATGTCGGCGAACTAGTCAGAGACGCGCCGCAGCCCGATCCGCAGACAGGGTTGTATGCGGATGTGTGCGGGGAGAACAATGCGGAAGGAAGTGGAGAAGGAAAGGATATGAAGCAGTTTTGTTTGCCCTTGACGACGGCCAAAGAGATGGCTTGGGAGGCGAAGCATAATCCTACCATTTCCTTCCGGTGCGCTCGTCTTATCGTCTACCATTTTCATATCTTAACTTTCGTGACAGTGCAAAGTTCCAGCCCTATGCCGAGCTTCGTCAGCGATTCTGGGCACAGTATCTGAAGCAGTACGATACGGATGATACTGGTGCCATATCGCACGTGGAGCTCACATCTATGCTTGATTCTCTCGGCTCTACACTCTCTGCACAGACTATAGACTCCTTCTTCACTCGCTATCACAAACGACCAGCAGAAGACGAACTAACCTTTGAAGAATCAATTCAATGTCTAGAAAGAGAGCTCATACGACCGGCATGCGAGAAGAAGAGGATCGACACAATAGACACCTTCATGGACAGAGATAGTAGTGCATCTGCATCGGAATCCATCACGCCTGGAGAAGAACTTGGATTAAACCTAGCGTTTGGCCGGCCGTTCTTGGGCGGCCTGGATTTCTCAGGTCCGCCCTTGAGCGCGATATTTGCGGATGAGTCGCCTACGGATGTGGGAAAGTCGTTTGTGACAGAGTCGAGTGATAGGCCGTTATTGAGCGTTGGTGTCCCGGAGCATTCACCTGCGGCATCGACGTCTGGTGGGTCTACATCCAATAACGCGAGGCAGGACTCTGCTTCGTCGTCTGACCCCGACGATATAACTTCAGCGCAAGTGTCTTCTTCAGACACTTTTGAGCGGGTTATCAATATCAAGAATTGCCCGTTGTGCCATCGACCACGATTGAACTCGAAAGCGGAGATGGACATCATCACGCATCTGGCTATATGCGCTAGTCAGGATTGGGCGAAGGTGGATAGGATTGTGGTGGGGAATTTCGTGACTGCGAGTCAGGCACAGAGGAAGTGGTATACGAAGGTTATTTCGAAGGTGTCGAATGGGAATTATAGGATTGGAGCTGTGAGTGGTCGTTGTGTTGGTTGGGTCGTGCTGATGATGTGTCTCTTAGAACTCGGCGAACATCATCGTACAGAATCGGATGACGGGGCAGTTGCAGGAAGAGAAGATGCAGGTGTATGTTCGGCTTGGCATTCGGTTATTGTATAAGGGTGCCAGAGGAAGGATGGAAGGCGCACGAGGTTCGCATATTCATATTCATATCCGTCATTCTTCCCAACTCGAGTTATTTTAGCTCGTCGCCTTCTCAAGTCGTTATCCATCAAACAAGGCGCCAAATACGACTCACCAGAATCTGCTCGCGATATCCCAAGTTTTATCGAGTTCCATAAGCTTCAAGTCAGTGAGATCTTGGAGCCAATTAGTTCTTTTAGTATGTCTCCCACTTCTGTGATGCGTACCCCGCTGACCTGATCTTTGTTTGTCAGAAACCTTCAACGATTTCTTCTACCGTAAACTCAAACCTTCCGCCAGACCCACCGAAAGCCCCGACGACTCCCGCCGCCTTGTCAGTGCCGCCGACTGTCGCCTCATGGTATTTGAAACCGTTTCCGAAGCTACAAAGCTCTGGATCAAAGGCCGCGAGTTCAGTATTGCGAGATTACTGGGCGATGTGTACCGCGATGAGGCAGAGAGATACGTGGGTGGGCCCCTGGCGATTTTCAGACTCGCACCTCAGGATTATCATCGGTTCCATGTTCCTGTGGATGGGAGGATTGGGGAGATGAGGGATGTGAAGGGGGAGTATTATACTGTGAACGTGGGTGCTTTTGCTTTTGTTTTGATTGATTGGGGACTGATGTGTGGTGGCATGGTTAGCCCCAAGCGATTCGGAGCGCATTAGATGTCTATGGGGAGAATGTGAGGAAGATCGTACCTATTGATAGTCCACAGTTTGGACGAGTCATGGTGGTTTGCGTTGGTGCGATGATGGTGGGGAGTATCAAGATAACTGTTAAAGAGGGAGAGGATGTCAAGCGCGGTCAAGAGCTTGGCTATTTTGCTTTTGGTGCGCAGTCTCCTGTATTCCGCGTACTCGTTTTCTGAATGAATGTGTCAATACAGGGGGCTCGACGATCGTCGTTTTATTTGAGCGGGGAACAGTAGAATGGGATGAGGATCTGGTGATTAATGGGAGAGCGTGTTTGGAGACGTTGGTCAGAGTGGGGATGGGGATTGGAACTTGTAGGCGGAATGGCTCAAGTCACAGTGTTAGGGCATGACCTTGTGTGCTTGCATCGCATGGGGGGCAGATGGAGATACTAGTGTACACGATCATTGACTTATAGTTGGTTATATATCTACAGTATTGACTAGGAATTGTTAAATTTGTGGGGCAATGTTAATTGATTTGGATGTTTATAGCTTCCGTCATGGAGCACTCGCGAGATAAGACTGAAACGGAGCATAGCCCTCATCACTACGCACCACAGGCTATGCTATCTTGGGCTATACCCTAAAACAGCCTCGGCCAGGCTATAGTATATTTAGCAGTGATATCGAATCCTCCTTTCCACAATTTCCATCTTCTGATACTCTGAGATTCTCTAAAACATTAATATTGTCATGGTGAGTCGATTCTATATGAACCATCTTCCTACTAAACCTCAACGATCGCTCTCAGCATCACCAACGCGAAGGATTCGGACGACACGAGAGGCGAGAAGAACGTCTCCAAGATCGCCGCGAACAATTCGGGGAGCGTCTCCATGACCGCCGCGAAGCGCTCGAAGAGCGTCGATTCGGACATGGGCGTCACGGAGAACACTCAGAAGAGCGTAGACATGAACGATATGAAGACCATCGCCGCGACCCAGATCAGCAGCAGTATGCACCCCCGTCTGGAGGGTTCAACAGGGCGGATTTCGTCTCTGATGAAGAGTTTAAGAGGATGATGCATGGCGGCGGCGTCGGCGTCGGCGCGGGGTTCGAACAACCCCGCAGGGGAGGTAATGACATCGGCCCTGAGGACTTTGGAGAACGGGATCGACAGAGGTCAGTTTATCTGATCTATGTGCGATCAGATCGTGATGTGAGCTGATGATGGACGATTCAAATAGACCACCTCAGAACGCTGGTTACCAAGAATCATACCAGCAGCAGTCCGTCCCTCACGAACAGCGCACATCTGGCTATGAGAGCGGCGCATATGCTCAGCCTCGCAACCAGTATTCTGTCCCAGAATCGTCGGACCCACGTTATGGAAGTAACGTGTATGCACCCCCTGCTGGTCCTCCTGGTGCATCATCCAGTCATGCGCCAGCGGGAGGCTATGCTCCACCTCCTGGGCCGCCACCCCCAGGTGCTAGACCTTTATATGGCAACGATGCTTCCCCTCAAGGAGGATCGGGCCGAGGTGCTGCGAGTGATTATTACAATGGGCCTCCGCCAGGTATGATTAGACTGTCAAGTAGCATCGCTTATCTTTAATTGACGGCGAAGTAGGTCAATCAGCACAGCCATACTCGCACACCCCAGATAACGCAAACGCTTATGGTGACTCCCCTAACCCACCTCGCTACCAGCCTCAACCCTCGGACGGGTTCGACGATGAGAATTACAAATCTCATTTCTCCGCTCACGCTCAGGCGTATGGGTATGTTATCTCCTTATTGATTCGAGCTAGATTGAACGTCATTTCTTGTAGTTCCGACCACGATGACAGGCCAATGGCGAATGATGCTATAGGCGCAGCTGCCGCTGTTGAGGCGCTGAAGCTCACGGCTGCAAATAACCAGTCGGGTAACAGGCCGCAGCAGGGAGGTAGACCACAGGGTGGATTCCATGCCGACGCGAACGCTCCGCATGCGACACCATCTGCCGGTGGTGCGCAGCAGTCATCAGATATGGGTGGGAGACCGAGTGGCGGGAAGCCTCAGGGGCGGCCACAGAATGCGGAATCCGAGTCTGAGTCTGACGACGAGGGGCCGGCTGCTAAAGCACAGGCTTCTGCAGGAGGTGGTGGCATGCAGGGCAAGATCGTAGGTTTCTCTACCATCTTTGGAGTTGATATGCTCAATCCTGCAGGTTGCACTGGCGATGGCTCAGGCAGGTAAACTCTTCGACAAGAAGGGCGGGGGAGACAGCCAAGGAAAGACGCAAGGTGAGTTTTTGCGCCTGATATATTATCACTTGCGCTAACGAAGCACTACCCATAGCTATGCAATCAGCTGCAGCAACTGCAATGCGCTTAATGGGAGAGTACAAGTCAACGGGTAAGGTGAACATGGAGCCAGGGGAGATGCAGAAGCTTATGGGGGTTGCGATGTCACTGTTCTGAAGCGAAAGAGTAACACTGATCAGCGGCAGAATTCGAAATTGATCTTGCAGTCATGTATCTACAATTCGAAAACATTTAGTATGGTCTCGATGTGGTTTTTAAACGTCTGATTATACACGACGAGCCTCATGCTTAATTTTACACAGTCGTTGGTCTCTTTGCTTGGTGCAACGTTCGTCTGATCACCATGATTGCGAGTTGTTGTTCCAGAGCGTATATGACCTGAGGACCGATAAGCCTGGATGACTGGTCATCGTGCTATTTTGAGACTGCCAGAAAACTGTGCGTCACATTCAGGGCCCAGGCATAAACCAAGTGTCTCTTTAAGTGGAGCCTGTTTCATTGAGCGCATGGAGTCCAAGGTTCATCAAGGCTCCGGGTTCTGGCAGCTGCCTGGTCGATCGCAAGTGAGTCAAGGTCTAGCTCAACGAAGGATTTGATCTCTCCATACAAGTTAATAAAAGACTAGAATAACCTGCCCCCAACCAGATAACTTGACATCGCGGCCACCATCCAGAAGAGAGTGACATCTGGAAGTTCGCGACCCTCGAAGCTGGCACCTGTGCTAGAGCAGGCTCCGGCTTGCAACTAGAAGGGTGCATGTTTCATATTTGTGCTGCCCGTTATTCTCGCGGATTGCATCCACGCCGCCGCCAGCGGATGGAGAAACGGTGTCTATATTCACTTTGCTGATGAGCATCGTTCTACATTCGGTGAGTCGACGGTGAGTCATACCATTGAATACACAAGGAGCATTTCACCTGACTAGGCAGGAACACTCACACGCAGTTTCTCTGCCAAACACTGGAATTTGGTAGTCCTGACGTTAAAACTATCAACTTGATCAATGTTGTTGCGCAGGTAGTGTAGGGGGAAAAACTACTTGGGGTCAGTTTTTATCATGGTCTGACTATGGGAGACAGTCTACCGTGACGGTGCAAGGATATTTCTATTTTTGGTTTGCGTGCCTTAAAATTTGCCGGCGGCATCATCAAGTGAAGAGCCTAATCACTCCCGAGCTTAGAGCTTAGTGGACGACAAGAAAACCAGGCATGGTTAATCATTCCAAACATCCACATTGCTCGAGCTGGTACTACAATCATTTATGCAAACTCAATTGTACTGGTTGGCTGCGAACTAGGTATTGCACTGCCATCAGCCATGATGCCAGCGCAAAAGCAGAAACACGACTCACTGTCGTGACATACCCTTCGGGCTGCTGGCTCAATTTTCAACCCTGGCAGGTCGTACCTCCACTCTAAGGCACGCAGGTGAGTCATGTGGTTAAATTCTGGGTACACAGCGACCTCCTCATACGCACGTCACTATCGACACAAACGCCAGCGCAGCAATCGTAAACTGTGTTGCAAGGTTGATTGTCGCCCACACATGCACTGACAAATATAGATGCTGTCAAACTAACAATAACGACGAGGAGGGGGAAACACATTTTCTGTGTGAGCTGATGCGGCATCTTCTGAGGGGGATCTCGGATGATATCTCTGAAGATGGGGGAACACTGTGGGGTGACGACCAGCTTTTATATCCTGCATATACGTATAGGCACAATTCTGACCAATTTGGCAGAATTGAAATTGCTGTGAGCTGTCAGATGGCATACTTCAGCAGAACATGCCGAAGCGTATTCATTTGATTATGACTATTGAATCATAATCTGCCTGCAGGTATCAACAATTCAAATATATCTTCCTGTGCCACTCGAACTTGAGCGCTTGAGCTTCGTGGACCACGTGCGAGACTAGCCACGGTCGATTATTTTTAGATAAATTCAAACATACACATGACTGCTTGGACAGTATGAACATTTGTCCAAAAAAACTCGCTGTTGCGACGTGTCGCTCGAGCTGCCAACTCAATATTCAATTTTCAACCTGCATACAAGCCATACTTCCATTCTGGGCCGAGGTGCGCGGGTAAGTCATGTGGTTGGATCTGGTTGCACGGCGACCTGCTCATACTCACGCCCAGACCACAATCTATGTCACCGCATCAATTTGCATCTCGTTCTGTCTCGTTCTGACATGCACTGACAGACATGGATACTGTCAAAGTAAGAACAATGGCGAGGCCGGAGAAACGCATTTTCAGTGCGAGGTGATATGTAATCTTCTGAGGGAAATCTGCAATGATATGTTTCATTATGAGGCAACGGCCAGCTTTATATCTTGCATATACGTATAGGCAATTCAGAAATTCATCCACTTCTGCTATTGCTAAAGAACAGCTTGTTTCATTTTGTGACCTGGCGTCCGCCTCCTCATTTCTGCCTGCTGTACCTGCCGCGGATGTGAGACGGCCGTTGCACTACCAGCTTCACTAAAGATCGATCTTTGTACTCAGCATTACACTGTCGTGTACAGCCAAAAGAGAGACGTCGGTCCGTAATAAGTAGCCATGCATGTTCTGGTAAGGAAAGAAGAAAAACGCCGACCTGCACAAATGCAGTCGCGCACGACCAAGGAAAGAGGAAAGGCAATGCAGTCGTGCACGATCTAAGGGGGATGGGAGGCAATAATCCGCAATACGCGGTCATGCACGATCAACGAAAGAGAGGCGTCATACTGCCGTCCCGGCCACACACTCTTGCAAAAGAATGGAAGCATCGACCTGCGCTATGCAGTCATGCACATCCGACAAAGAGGAACGATAGCCCGCGTGGTGCCAGATAATTTAAATTTATGTCTAGTGTGGATATTTGAAGAGTTAGCTTGTCAACGTGTCTAATGCCCAAGGGTACCATCAGCGACATATCCCCAATATCTTTTACGACTTGCTATTCGCCAGCTCTTTCCCCACTTGATAACAATGAGGAAAGTCATCGTAATGGCAAGCCCGACGAAGCCTGCAGATATAAACGTGTTCCGGTAACCCATGTGAAGCCAAGGGGTGATCCCATATCCCTGTAAGAGCACGCGTCAAAATGAAAAGGTGAAGTAAATGTCTCGACTCACAATAGCAAATGAAAGGGTATTCTACATTCAAGAAAACCCATATTCAGTATGAGTACAAAGATGTGACGAATTGGTGTACTTACGCGAACAAGGATGACAGCCATCATCACTTCCCCACCCATATCTTTGTATGAATCCAGGGCGTAGCTTATAGAGAGTGAAGAGCCAATACCAGTCGAGCAAGAGATGATGCCCATCCCAAAGACGAGGCCGACCCAGCTGATGCCCTTAGACGCACCAACTCCCCAGAGAATGAGAGAAGCTGGACACAGAAGAAGCGAAACAACCATGAGCCAAAGGCGATGCTCTGGCTCTCGGATACCGCCCGTTCGACGCGCATATCTCACAGCAAACCGATCGCCCACCCACCCGCTATAGAATGTTCTGTACCAACGTCAGAGATATTACCAGGGCAACTCAGAAGAAATTTACCCAATAAACATGCCAATCAAAGGGCCGAGGTAGGTCAATCCCACAAAGCTTGCCCTGAAGTTATAGGGTTGTTCGCTGAGGATTAATGAACAGGTGGCATTCAGGACATTATACCACACTAAACATGTTCCATACTGAAACCCTGCCCTGTTGAAAAAGTCAGTTTGCGTTCTCTGTATTTCCAACGGACAGCTTACCAGAAAATGACAGGGAAGCGCAGCAGAATTATAGGACGATACGTCATCGTGAATAGCAGCTTGTTCGAAGCATAGCGCCCACCAAATAAAGCGAGCCGTTGCAAATATGGTTTAGGTATGCCTATCAACTCCCCAGAAGAGACAGGAGATGAAGTAGTTGACACCTTGTCGTCTTTCTCAGTACCTGGTTTGGTGCTGAAGTGTACAGCTTCTGTCGCTTCGCTTGTGTTGCGTACGAAGTTCGTCTACACCTAGGCGTCAGCAATAACCAGTACTAATCACATACGGCGTACCTCTTCCATAAAGAAAAACAACAATATGAGGGAACCGAAGTTTATAATCGCAGCCCAGTACATCACCCAGTGCCATCCTTGGCCATCATATATGAACTTGGTCAGAAATTAGGACGAAACTTGGAAATCGATATGCAATTTGATACGCACACCAGCGATGAGTGGTGCAAAGTAGTTCGACCTGCTCACGAGGTCAGTACAAGTCAAAATTTAATACGCTCAAGACCAACCCAAACAGAAAGAGCGTGTAAATTCCAATATATGTCCCACGCTCATGCGCAAAGAACTATTAGGTGAAATGAGTTTATTTGGATAGACAAGGATCTTAGTGTGCTTACCACATCTGCAATGCTGACCTCGCACAGACTCTCGACAGGAGTGCAGAGATAACCCTGCACAATTTTGCTGGCGATCCTGGCGGCGAATGATCACCGGTCATTGAGTGGCCTTTGAGCTAAAAAAAAATGTGCTGCATACCACTGGCCTTCCGTCTTAATGTACGGCGTCAATAGACAAAGGGCCTACCAAAGACTAGTCAACCTTCAAGTTATATCTCATTGTCACAGACTCTTACAGTGTTGCCAATGACTGAAATCAGATATATAGGTCGCTTTCCAAAGGTAAGAGCGAGCGGTTGATTTATCAGCGCTCCCCAGCCTAAGACTGGTATTCCGATATCATATAAACCCAATCATGAGGAACAATGATGACGACCTACAAAGAAACACTTTTCATGACAACAATGACACCGTTGAATATAAACATAAGAGAAATGTTGAGACAAGCCCACTGTATCCTGTGCCCGCATTAAGCGTTGCAAGAGGTATCCCTGTATCATCGGAAATAGGCTGCAAAATGGAGTACAGCACGGTCGTCCCGATGCCGATAGCACTTGTGTCTGTAAACCGAGTAAAAATCCAATACATCATCTATCAGTTCTTAAGACATACATATCATCACGCAGACGATCTGCAGAAATTTCCGGCCTCTACTCCAGTTCAGTGGATCGTTAATATCATTGGAAGGCGTCGGACTGAGCACAATGGCACTGTTATTTTCTGCGTGCGCAACCGTCGTTTTCTCCTGGACGTCGACAAGGTAAACTGATCCAGGCACTACGGAATCATCGATGTCATGCATGAT